CCACCTACTTGCGACTTACAAACGTCAAAAGGGGCGCCCTTTGTTGCCGAATCGGCCTACTGCGGCGACGAACGGGGCTTTTTTCTCAATCACCTCTCACCTCTTCGAATCACGCATGACCCCCAAATCCCACTTGTCTCTTCACTCTATTGCATCAGCAGCCGTTGGCATCACACCTCTTACTAGTTGCAAGGCAATCAAATCAATCGATCGGTAACACCAAACTCCAAATCCAAACCCCGGGAAGACTAGCCTACCGTAGTCACCTCCAAGAAAGCCGACCAACCGACCGACTAACAAACGTAGGTATAGACACTGAGAAGTGTAAGCCCGGATACCTCGCATACCTTGGCTAACAGGAAACGGAACAAAAGAGACGAGCGGACACGGACTGTCCAGACCAGACCAGAAACACTTTGACAAACAAACAGACAGACAGGGGGACGCCTACACTGCGCTGCGTTGCGTTGCGTTGCCGGCCCGCTTGAGCCCACACACACATTTGCTCATTCATTCATTCATTCATACATTCATTCATTGACTCTCTCTCGTCATCCGCTACGAACGCTCTTGGGTTAGCCTACCTCTACCCTCGCCTTCTAGCCAAACCCAGCCGAGCCGGGGCTTATCACCAATCGATAAGACGCCCCTCCGACCTACTACTACGATAGTAAGTACTAAGGTGCATGTACTCCACCTGCTCTGCTATCAATCGACCCCTGCGAAACGCTCGAACCCGCTCCGACAGCCCCTCCATCCACCCAGCACATCCCGCCATCCTCTCGTCATATAATCCGCACTCACAAATTCGATCCAGGACGATCCAAGACAGAGGACCTGACCTCGTTGCGATATATATGTGCGTGTGCGCGCGCGTTACGTGTACATTGGTTAAAGCGAACGAGCAGCACACGGGCTAGTCGGGCCGCTGTAGTGCACTCTCGCCTACTTACTCGCCCACTTACACCTGAAGCACCTACCTCGGGCAGTCAGTCAAGCTGTCATACATGCAGGACCAGCAGTGTTATAGCACAATCCACCCTGCCCTGGCCCTGGCCCTGCTCATGAGACAGCCTTCCACCTCCTCCTCTGCGCCGATCGCCCGACCGCCATTTTCCACGGCCAACCTCTCACAACCTACGGAACAGCGATTTCTCGTGTGTTCACCCTCAGTGTGGTGATTTCCACTCAATACACTCCAGTGCAGTGCAGTGCAGTGCAGCGCAGTGGTTCAGCACGTAGCCGAAGGCGGACGAGGCACCAACCTCAACCTCTCGTCTGCAGCCTGTCAAGTCGCCCTCAGCTCCTCACCCACCCCTTCAGACGACTGCAGCCGCCCGTGATTGCCCTCAATCCGGTGTCTCCCTCTCCCTCCGTGCAGAGCAGAGCAGAGCACCGGCCGCTCCTCCCTTCCCTAATCTCGTCTTCCCGCCTTGTGTCCCTGGCCGGCGCTCTGGCTGCTTCTCTTCCACGACAACTTCCTGGTCCTGGTCTTCTGTCCCGCCGCCCCGGCCGCTTCTGCCAAGATGGATCCCGAACCGATGGACTACGTGATGCATCCCGAGCTTCCCTCAACTCCTCAAGCTCACCATCCCCCACGAGGCTGTCCAGCCTGGCGCCACGATCACGGTGCCTATCTCCCCAGTCCCCACGGCATGCTCTCGCCTACTCGGAATCCGCACTCGCCCTACGATCCCGTCCATGGTTCGAGCGGTGGATGGTTCCCCCAACATCCTTTCCAGTGGTCTCCTCCCACCGGCCCTTCTGCTCAACCAAGATCCGCCCACTCTGATCCATACTTTACTTCCATGAGCGCCGGGCTTGGAGGTCCTGCTGGCCCTGTACAACCGGGCTTCCTGCCCATTCCACAGTATTCCGCGCCCCTCGATCCGTTTGGTCCGCTTCACTTTCATCACCGCCCAAGCCACCAAAGAGCTGGAGGTCCAAATCTCCCAAACCTCCCAAATCCCGTTAGTCAACCAGCGGGCCAACCTTCTCAGTCCTCGTTTACGCCAGACAGACACAGTCAAGCCTCAACCCCGCGAAGTGTCGGCCTCCCATCGGTCAACGTCTCCTTACCTCAACTTCAGCCCCAATCTCAGCCCAACATGTCGACCGCTGGAGACGGCAGCTCTTCTTCTTCTTCCTCCACGCCAGAACGCCGTCCCACGTTCAATACAGCACCTGACTCGCCACGTGGACCGGTCAGGCAGAATGGGCTATTTACAGCTTCACCACTCTCTTTGAGGTCATTATCGTCCCATCGCCACGAAGCTGCTTCGCAGTCCACCAGGCCGCTTTCTCAGTACTCTGAGCCTCCAGGTAAGTCCTTACTCTACAGTCCCTCGAATCAGCCTTCTTTCCTCGCACCCGAGCTAACCCTCCAAAAGTTGCGAGTTCAGATTCTACACCCCCCGCTCCATCTAACACCGAACGAGTACGCCGTGTCCCACCATCACGGCACCGAGAAATCAGAATGTCGGTATTCTCGCCCAATTCTGATGACAGTGACGATGAGCTGGAACACTTTCATGAGCGGGTGCTGGAACAATACTCCTCAGGGTCTACCCCTTATCCTATTAGGATTGGTGATATGGGGGAACGCCACGTTCGTGCACATCAGCTCTTGCGGGGCCAGATGACAAGCAAGCGGGTTGCATCCAAGAGTGCGATCTCGTCTCTCCAGAGTGTAGAGATTGACACTCTCCCAGAAAGCGAGAGGAGTAAGTTACAGTGCTCATTTAGCTACTGTGAGCCATGGAAACTAACTGCAAATAGCATGTGTGATTTGCTACAACGAATTTGGTGTCCCGAATCCTGAGGGTATCAATGAAGCCCCTCTGCGCTTGCCCAAGTGCAAACACGTTTTTGGTGACCACTGCATCAAGAAATGGTTCGAGGAGTCGGATAGCTGCCCATATTGCAGGGACAAGGTCCCCTCTGAGCCTCAAGTTCGAGCAACACCAGAAGCGATAAGGAGTTTCTTCCGGCATGCCCACCAGGCACATCGTGTTGCTACCGAGAATATGAACCCTGGTCAGCGAAAGTAAGTCGATCTCGAGAAACATTTCCCCGTTTGTACAAGTACTGACTTCCTCAAGCGATGAATGGGTGCGAGGCGGCGGTGGAAGTGCAGAGGTCTACACCACTCTTCTAAACCATCGTAACGTACTGAACATAGATGTGGGAAGCACATCATCACGCGTTACGTTCCAACCTGTTGAGAGAAGATCGCCGCCGGATGATTCGAACGACAGCCGGCGTAGAACTCGTGCACGGCATGGTAGCCTTCGTGGTTCGCCTTCCTCCTCTGCTGCTGGCGGAAGCGCAAGCTCCAACGCGGGAAACAACAGCAATGGTGCAGCCAACAATGGGAACAGGCCGAATTCGTTTGCGGGCTCATCCTCGACCTCTCATCAGCAGAGTCCTGCCCGGGAGCGATTTGTGCCGCCTCATCTTCAAAACCTGTGGAACCACAGCTCTCATCAGAACGGCCCGGTTCGTCGATCTGTGACGCCACACATCCCGAGACAGTATACCCCAGGATGGAACCAGAATCATCGTACACATGCATCAGCACACCCTCGACATCCTTCCGGTCCTGCTTCCATGACCCCTTTCTCTCCATTGTCGTTCGAGCCATCACCCCATGCTCCTCCATTCCTTCCAGGACCGCCGTCATTTGGTACGATGGGGCAGTCAGAGAATCAGCCGCCGTCCTCGGGTCCACTGAATAACAACAGTGCATCGGGATCGCAAGCGGAGTCGGGGCAACACATATTCGGTTCACCACATGCTTTCGGATCTTCGCAACACCTTCCTCCTGTCGGGGGAGACGGTCCATCCGGACCCGGCTTCCAAGGCATGTCAGGTCATCTTGGTGGTCAAATGGGGTACTAGGAGACCCAGTTCATCGAAGCCCAGCGACGTTTGGAGGAGGAATCAGAGTCCAGTGATGATCGAGAGGAGGATCGAGCAAACGATCGAGAAACACAGACACCAGGATGGGTTGAGCTCTTCAGCGAACCCCTGCGAAGACGGAACGCCGTCGGTGATGCTAGCGTACCACCCGCACGTCGCGGAAATAATGACGAATGAAGATTATCATATAGATTTCCAGGAACTCATATCACAGCACAACAAGGGTGTCTATTGGCTAGGGAGGTCTGCTCGCTCAAGGCTATGCAATGGCAGGGTATTGGCGTTTTGAGGATTTTGATTTTTTATTCAGCAGGGCTCATTCAGCGGAGCTTGTTGTGGCATTTCCCCTTATTGCATTCTCTGTCTCAGGACCGAGACTTTTCCCCTTTTTCACCTGATCAGCATTACGTTATTACCCTTCGGCATGAGACAACTGGCAACGTTCACTATCACCGTCTGGGAGTTTGTGGAGTGAAGGTTGCAATTTTTACTGAGAAGCAGTTGCTTCTGGACGGCAAATTTGGTTTTGGTTGTGAGTTAGTCGAAGGACGGACGTGAAATGTGGACAGCGAATTCTCGAATTCGCATCCCTGAATCGCACGTGAGAGATACAGAAGCCTGGAAGAGCAGTGGAGTCACGAGAGATGACTTTTTATAGTTGCAGTCTCTATTGCCCCTTCTCGTCGGTAATTGCTTTGTTACGTATTCTCTCTCTCTCTCCGCCCTCGATAGAACAGATAGATATCCAGTTAGTTGGCGCGATAATATCAAGATGATGCGCAGATACTTCTTATGCCCCTTTTTTGTGGACAATTTCGTGGACAAGTACAAAATGTGCTCTCCAGACAGACCCATCTATTCAATTTATCGCTATGCAGAAGGAAATTGCCGGATCATAAACACATAGCATGTAGCATCTGAAGGAGGTTCAAGTACAGACTTGCTTCATCCCTATAAGGTGTAATTACATGAAGATGGGAGGGTTTCTCTCTCTCTCTCTCTCAGAGACAAAACATCTAGCTTTTCCCTACAAGAACAACACCTCACCGCCTTTCCATCGCGTCCCTCGGTCTTGGACTCTACAGCTTCGCCCTGCTCTTCTTGCCCTCGGCCTCGGCCTCCTGGATCAGCACCCACGCGAACTCGGCCAGCGGGGCCCGCGCGTCCGCGTACCGCTTGGCCACCTCGCTGCTGGCCTGGCGGGCGGCCGCGCGCGCCGCGATGCCCTGGCAGATGGCGGCCTGGCGGAAGATGTTGAAGGCCTGGGACCAGCGCAGCTCGCGCTCCGAGTCGTCCCACCGGCCGGGGCCCCAGCCCGCGGTGGTGGCGTACAGGGCGGCGATCTCGGGCGGGGCGGGCAGGCCGGGCGTCGCGCCGGGGAGGAAGCCCGCGTGGGAGTTGGCGATGGGGGTGAGGGCATTGTTTGATGATGATGATGGTGCTGCTGCTGATGATGATGACGGCGATGAGGAGGAGGACAGGACGGATGAGTGCAGGCGGGCGGTGTAGAATGGTGTGAGGAAGTTTGCGAGATCTGACAAGGGGTGGCCGATTGTGGACATCTCCCAGCTGCGAAGCAATGGTCGTTAGGTTGGCAGGTTACGGTCTGAACAGGCAAGAGAGGGGCTCACTCTAAAATGCCGATAACTCTCGGCTCTGTCTTGTGATATACGAGGTTATCGATCTTGTAGTCTCCATGAATCAAAGTTCCCCGGTCCCGCGGCTGAGCTGCCGCACTGCCGAAGTACCGGATCGTCTCCTCAAAGTGCGGCAGCACACCGACGGGCTCGCCAGTCTCGACATCCTTAGTGCTGGCCTGCGCCGCACATATGGTCTGCCAGGTGGCGAGCTGGCGGTTGTAGAAGCCATTACTCTTGCCAAAGTTTCCGAGGCCAACCTTGGCCGGGTCGACGCGGTGCAGCTTGGCCAGTGTGCGGATGGCGTCGTTCCACATCTCGGTGCGCGTGGCCGGATCGACACCGGGGATGGCCGGGTCTTCTATGATGCGCCCGTCCAGGAATTCCATGATGTAAAACGGCGTGCCGATGATACTCTCGTCCTCGCACAAGCAGTACGCCTTGGGCACCGGGACATCTGTCTGCTCGAGCGCGTGGATGATGCGGTATTCGCGCTCGACCTTGTGCGCCGTCTTGGACACCAGCTTTCCAGGGGGCTTCTTGCGCATCACGAAGCGCTGCCCCGTGCTGGAGGTGAGCTGGTATGTTGGGTTCGATTGACCGAAGCCGAACTGCAGCGGGGGAGGCTCCCGTTAGTTATCTGCCCTAGATATGATTGTGAAGAGGCGTCAAAAGAACCAGACCCTACCTGCTTCACGTCAAGCGGCACCTTGATCTCGGGCACATTCTTTTCTATGTAAGCCTCGAGGGCCTTGATGTCGATGGGTTGCCGCACACGCCCCGCCATGATAATCGACCGGCAAGCTTGCTTTGCAAGCAGTCTTGACAGGAAGCTGGCACTTAGGTGTTTAGGGTTTCCGGTCTGATCGAGACTGCCCTCAATCCAATTGCATGTCGTCGAAAGAACTCTTCAGCCAGGCCAAGTCGCAGCTATCTCCCTTACCCTCATCTCGCGCCCCGGCTGGATATGCTCGGGGTGGGATAAGCTTATGTACCTAGGTTTGTCTGGAGGTGACGCAGGGGCATGTGCCGAGGTTGACCGATCTGGGTTAGGCGGCTCCAGCGGGTTAAGATATCCGACCCCAGATTTTCGGCTTGGGGTCCTGGCGCGCCGGGGCAAATCCTTCGGCGTGCGGAGGCTACAATCGCCGGTTGATGCACTCCCCGTCCGTTCTGCACGGTCGATTCCGCATGGACTTGGTTAAGAGACGCCTGCTGAAGGTTGAATTACACACAATTTTGATTCTCTATCAACGGTGGATGAGTTGGGCCTTGAGCCTCTCATGCAAACAACCTGCCCCAGGGTCGAAAGCATCCGTAATTTAATGTATGAGCGCCTGAAGCTCAGCCGATCCAGACCTGTCCGAGTTTGTCCAGTAAAACAATATAATACAGTAAAGTCCCTCACCACATAGTTTTGTGATATGTCCCTCAATCGTCTTCTATATCGTCGTCACTGAGGACGAGTTTGTGTACATGCAAATCACCAACCAGAGAACCCTCGCTCTGATCAGCCCGGCTACGAATGGCGGCCCTCTTCTTCCGAGGACTCGACTCATCCGTAGGTTTATCTGTCGCCCAAGCTTCGCCATTCGCGTCTTGTCCTTCGTCTGCTTCGTCGGATGACTCTTCGGTCTGTGGACCGCCGATTCCTTGGAAAGACACTATCTTCTCAAGATCACGCGTGCCCATGGACATGAACGAGCCTTTTCGACGCCGTGAAATATGCGCCATATAGGGCAGTCGCTCAAGGATCATCTCCTTTCGAGCCGAATTGCCCAAGGAGAGCAACGGGGCACTCTCTTCTTCCTCCTGAGCCTCCGGTTTTGGTGGTGGTTTACGGACATAGTTGAGTTCGGTCTTATTTGCTGCCCAGTCGCCGACACTGCTGCCTTTGTTCTTGCGGAACGCGGATGCCCCTTGCGTGAGGCTGGTCGTGGACTGGAGAGGGGTGATGGGCAAATCCTCTCCCTTCAACATCTTCGCTGCCCATACATCGACTAGACCCTCCAATTCCTCCTTAGCTCTCCATAATTTGATGCTCGTAGGGTAGAACATCTTGAATGAGTCTCCTCCCTTGCCGCCTCCAGAACCTAGAGTCATACGTTTCACGGGTGACGGTAGAGAAAACAGCAGACCGCGAACCGCGACTTGAAAAGCCATCTCATCTTGCCTTAAGATATGACTTCCCTGGTCCCTATTTCCAAAGCCGCTACCGAAGCCCTTGCCACCGAAGAATATGTCCCAAGACGGATTCAACAGGTCGCTCTCTGATAAGTATTCAATACAGTCATTGATGTAATCGACGGATGATTGTGGATCTGAGCGCCCGCTTGGCTCACAAGACAGGATGTAGTTCTCGTGCAGAGCAGAAATAAAAGTCGCGGTGTCTGTGCCTGTCTCATCAATGAGGGTATCGACGGATACCTGTGATCTTTTGGGCCGTGCATAATGGGCAAGATAATCCGGTAGCACCTCAGCCTCAGCTTCCTCAGAGCCTCTTGGAAATGGTGTCTCATCCCGCTTGTTGTAGACGACTTTACCAACGGCATGAAAGATACCCAAGCTTGCCTCTCTCTGTGAGATCAATTCAAGGCTTTCTGCCTCACCCTTGGTCAGGGCTTGGTCCTTGGAGGCTTTCTTCCCTTTGGTGAATGTGACCTTGGAGCCCCAATCTGCATCATCGTCCCCCTTGAGACAGAGAAATTCCAGCGAAGATATAGCATTTCTAATGTCGCCGATCTCTCCTAGCCGTCTCAGAACTTGTGGCCCTGGAGTCCGACGACGACCGGACTTTCTCGCTTCCTTCAAGACTACTAGTTCTAACGCCTTGGCGAGTAAAGTTGGAGCAATGTTGTTGAATTCTATCACGCCGGTTCCGGGATGCTTCAGAATTTCAGGGCCAAGGAGTCGATGCGCCGTAAAGCTGTCCGCAGATGCAGAGGTCGTTGTTAATAGTGTCTCAGATATTATCATTACGATGGGTATAATGGGTTCGTCGAGCCCCTGCCTTCCAAAAGTCGCTAGAGCAGGAGTGTTCGTTGCTAGAAAGTGCAATATTGATTTTCTGAACGCAGTCAACGCGCTTCCTGAGCGCATGAACGTGTTGGGGAACTCCTCGATGAGGATGATCCTCCGTTTGTCGTCTTCTGTGGAACCACTGTCCGTAGCTCCATGGTGTTTCGTATTCGCCGGTGCCGAATCATCCTCGAAATCAAGCTGACCAAATTTCCCTCCCCTTCCCATGAACTCCTCGAATTGTGCTGACGCCGATGAGTATCCTTGTGTGGCACCCAGTGATCCGGTAGGGTTCCTCCATTCCAAAATTTCACAGCCCATATCCTTGGCGAGCAATTGCATAGTTGCTGTCTTGCCAGTGCCGGCAGCACCCTTCAATATCAGTAGACGCTGTCGTAACTGTCCATTCGTGACATCCTCTAACCATTTCCGCACGTCAGCCACCTTCTTCTTGTGTACTGCCAGCTCGTCGAGATTGGCCGGCCCGAACCGTTCTGACCACGGGCGCTGATCGTCGTCAATGGCAGCGGAAGGCCCAGTAGGTTTGGGCGGCCGTAGGAATCTCTGGCTCGCACCTGCACTACTCGAAGCCGCAGGTTGCGAGCTTTCCCTGAATCGTTTCTTCGCGTTTTTGCCTACAAGACTCGACGCAGTGACATTTCGGACACCAATATCGTCATCTTCGGATATGGGATCGCTGATAATATCGTCCAATGGGCACGTATCAACCTTTCTAGTGCCGCTAGACGGTCCATCGGTCTGAACGCGCTGGGCTTGCTTGGAGAATAAGGTGAGGAGATCAGCAGATTTCCCCTTCTCATCAGAGAACTTCTTCTGCGTTTTGACCTTCTTCTCGGGGCTTGTGCTAGGACTCTTGGTGGTAGCTTTGGCCTGGCGTGCCAGGTTGGCAAGAGAGTTGGATGAGCCATTCGAGGAAGACTGGGCCAGCACGGATGGTCGAACGGGTTTCTTCACGGGGCTTGGCGATGCAGACGGCGCTCTATTTGCCCCGGCTTTCGAATCGGGGGAGGAGAACAGGAAGTTCTTCAGGCTGTTCCTGTTGGTTTGCGGCTTCTCATCCTCGTCATCCTCATCGGCCGCGACAATGTTCCGCTTGCGACGCTTCGCAGGCGGTGCCATTGCGGATCATGCAATATGCGGAGATGCAGCATCTGTCACTTGGGGGAAGCGATAGAGTGCCGTCGATGCTAGGATAGCAGGCAATTGGGCGTTGACAGGGAGATGCTTCACGAAGAAGAGGGCATGGGCTCGAGAGAGTGTAGGTGGTGTCGGCTTCAGCTGAGCCTTGCAGTGGGGGCCGCACCTAGAGCCTAGAGGAGGGTCACATCAGGGGCCCATCGGGCGGCGGATTAGCGCTGCTTTGGCCTAAGCTTAGCGCGTGTCTGCCTGTAAAGAGGTCATCTGACCTGGCGTCAGTCAAGCTCCTGCCTCCGCAAGAGCTCAAACGCGCTTTCCGTCCCGTCGCGTCAACAAACCACTGGGAAATTGGCAAACACCACAATCAGAATCGCCACCTCGCCATCTGCAGTTTGTGACGTCTCCCGTGCTCTTCCGTCCACTACAAAAGACGTCTCGGAAGCTTCATCCTCGCTGGATCTTCGAAGTTCTCAAGCCTACACATTACTGCTGCACACGGCCACTACCTCTCGCCATGACGCAAATGGAGGAATATGATCCCGCCCAGGAGGGCGAGGATGGTAGCATGACCGGCCCTGGCGCTCCTACGCCTCTCACGGCTCTCGAGGTATGCTCAAATCTGCCCTTGCGAGATAATTTCCGGTCAATGCATATTTACTCACAATTATTCGTGTGAAGGGCATTGCAGGCCTCACCAAGCGTGATATCCAGCTTGTTGTTGATGGCGGATTCAACACCGTCGAGTCGGTGGCCTATACGCCACGCAGAGTTCTTGAGCAGATCAAAGGCATTTCAGAACAGAAAGCCGCCAAGATCCTCGGAGAGGGTAGGTCAAGTTCATGAATTCAGCCCTTAGCTACTTACTGACCAAATTTGTAGCGTCTAAGCTGGTTCCCATGGGCTTCACTACTGCCACAGAGATGCACCAGCGCCGCAGTGAGCTAATATCGATCACAACTGGTTCAAAGAACCTCGACACACTTCTCGCTGGCGGTGTTGAGACTGGTTCCGTGACCGAGATTTTCGGTGAATTCAGGACTGGCAAATCTCAGATATGCCACACACTTGCGGTGACTTGCCAACTTCCATTTGACATGGGAGGTGGCGAAGGCAAGTGTCTATACATCGATACTGAGGGCACTTTCCGACCGGTCCGGCTCCTCTCCGTCGCGAACCGCTATGGTCTGTCCGGCGAAGAGGTCCTTGATAATGTGGCTTATGCCCGTGCTTACAACTCCGATCACCAACTGCAACTTCTGAATCAAGCAGCCGCGATGATGTGCGAGACGAGATTTTCCCTTCTGATTGTCGACTCGGCCACATCTCTGTATCGCACAGATTTCCTGGGGCGAGGAGAGTTGAGCAGTCGTCAGACACATCTAGCCAAGTTCATGCGAACTCTGCAGCGACTGGCTGATGAGTTCGGCATTGCGGTCGTTATCACAAATCAGGTCGTGGCCCAGGTCGATGGTGGCCCATCTGCGATGTTCAACCCAGACCCGAAGAAACCCATTGGGGGCAACATCATTGCTCACGCCAGTACGACGCGAATCAGCTTGAAGAAGGGCCGAGGAGAGACGAGAATCGCCAAGATTTATGACAGTCCATGCTTACCCGAGAGTGACACATTGTTTGCCATCAACGAGGACGGTATTGGCGACCCGAGCCCGAAGGACATGGAGAAGGCCGGATGATTAGAATGACGGACTACAGGCAATTGTACGTGTTATGGTAGGTGACGGGGTAATTACGAGAATGGAGTACTGCAGCTAGGCGATATAGGATGCCTTTCCCCCTCGAGCTTCTTGATTTTAGCATGCATAGTGGCTGGCGTTTGCGATCATATCTACTTTCAGAGCCAGAAGTGTGCTCGGTGCTTCATGTACAATCTTTTGCTGAATTGCGTCTTAGAGAAAATCATATTAACTCATGCGTCAAACTCCGCTCCTGGATTGGATATGTGGAATACCGGATGTGCTGCCTAGACTAAACCGTTTGCGCCAGAAAGACGGAGACTTTTGTTGAGAGAAGCCCTCCTGCCGAAAATACCTGTATTGCTTTTGACTTGTACAAGATCGATCCACACCACCCAACATAGTATAGTAGTATCTACGCAGGCGCGGCGCCTTTCCAGTACTTTGTCGGCACAAACGGCATCTTTGTCACAGTGGCTTTCCTGTTGCGGCCCCGAACAACAACGTCCACCTCAGTGCCTGACTTGTGGAAACCATCTTTGATATATCCCATGGCAATGTTCTTGCCCAGCGTCGGGCTCGGGCACCCACTCGTTACGGTACCAATCTTCTCGCCCTCCTTGCTCACAATCTCGGCGCCCTCTCTGGCCGGTGCTCCTTCGACAACAAGACCAATGCGCCTGCGCTCAACGCCAAGACCACCCTTGGTCTTGGGTACGAGCTGCTTCGTGATGACTTCAGCACCGTGGAAGCCTCCGCTCGTCCTCCTCTCCTTGGGAATAACCCAGCTCAGAGCAGCCTCGACGGGCGTCGTTGTGTCATCCAGGTCATGGCCGTACAAGCACATGCCTGCCTCCAGTCTCAAGCTGTCACGAGCTCCCAGTCCGGCGAACTGTAGTTTCTCCGGCCCCGCAGCCAGAAGGGCCTCGGTCACGGCAACGGCCTCCTCCGGCCGGATGGAAATCTCGAAGCCATCCTCGCCAGTGTACCCACCTCTGCTGATTAAAATAGGGCTAGACAGCTTGTTGTCTTGAAGCTTGGCCATCCCGTAAATCGAGGAACCAAAGTACAGCTGCTTCAGGTCCACCTTGTCAGGCTCAGCGAGGATTTCGTTCAGGATCTCAGCGCTCAATGGGCCCTGGAGCGCGACCAGGCCCCAGCCCTCGAGCTTCTCGTGGGTCACATTGTCCACACCGCTAAGCTCCTTCTCGAAGTACGCATCGTCCTTCTCCCTGCACGCCGCGTTCGTGACCACGTAGAACGTGTCATCGGCCAGCTTGGTGATGATTGTATCGTCCACGATTCCTCCCGTCTTGGGGTGAAGGAGTGTGCTCAGCGTGCTGCGGTGCTGACCTAGGCCCTTGGCGTCGGACGGAGTGACCTTCTGCAGGAAGTCCGCGGCGCCGTCTCCGCGGAAGATGCGCTGGACCATGTGGCTGACATCGAAGAGGGAGGCCTTCTCGCGGGTGAAGTTGTGGGAGGCGCTGACGGACAGTGACGAGTACTGCACGGGCATGTGAAAGCCGCCGAAGGGGACCATCTTGCCGCCATGGGCGAGGTGGAGGTCGTAGAGCGGCGTCTTCTGGAGCTCACCCTGTGAGTCGGAGGGAGCGGAGGCGTAGGATCTGGAGGCGGCGGGACTCGCTGCCAGCGCGAGCCATGTCGGACGCAGCTGGCGGTGCATCGGGGAGGCAGAGCTCGGTGACAAGCGGGCGGCTCGTGACGGTGCGCTGCTGAGAGCGAGGGCCCCACGAGCAGCAGCTCGGAGGCCATTCTGTTGCCTCGCAATCGACTTGACGGCCTGCATTGTGGGCAATTGCCAACTTGAACACAGCTCAAAGTCTACCTGGAGACTTAGCAACTGCTATCGAGGGTCGTCGAGGCAGACTATTTATCGATCGGTGAGACAGCCCCGGTGCCGAAGGTAGTACCGATGACGGGATGGTGGGGCGAGAATCGGTTCCAGTCGGCCGGACCAATTCACGATCACTGACTTATCAGCGGTGTTGCTGAATGTCGAATAAGTAGAAGAGGTCTGTAAGTTCACAAAGACAGCTGGTTTTTGCCAAACGTAGATTTTTTTTGAATTAACTGGCTTGTCAGAAAGGAGTGGAAGTATCCAACAGCTATCCATTTCCGATTCAATTTTGAGTACCATCATACCATGCGTTAACACTAGCAAGGTGCACTAATGCTCAACAACCAGCGCCAATGCCCGGACTGTCAACTCCGTTTTAAAGTCACGAATCCTACAGTCACCCGCAACAGAACTTACCAGAGAATCAAAGACACTAAAACGTCCAACCTTCGAAATCGTCGACGAACCTCACGGCTGCCGCTAAGTATCGATCATGGACATCGCCCCAGGTCCGTGCTGCCTCCTTCATGGCTCTAACACCCTTGACGAAGTGTGCATCGGTGGCCCATCGCGAGTTGATCGCCTTGTCCTCCACGTATGTCCACCCTTTGCCTGACGGAGACGGAATGTAGTCAGGATCGATTTTGGGTCGCAGCTCCGCGATGTATACTGCCAGCGTCAACAGCCACCATTCCCTAACCAGGTTGACATGGAACTTGACAGGAATGACTGGCAGAAGTATCCTGACGGCGTGGCTGGTTGTAAGTAGATGAACGACAAAGAAATTATACGAGTGAGTTCCCGGTGGTACGGTTGCAACAAGGAGGGCGACTGCTGCCTCCTGGGATTCCTGGAATTGCTTTAGGGGATCCTCAAACTTCCACGCATTCCAGTACTCCAGAATGAGTGGCTCGTGCTTCTCAAACAGAACATCAATATTGTCAAACCCGCGGTCTTTGAAGAGGCCGTCGAAGCGCGTGTCTTGCTGGAGCTTGTGCAGGAGATCGAGAGGCGACGTCGAGCTGAACGGCGACGGCTTCGTATATGACTTGTCGTCGATGTACTTGTGGAAGTAGTTGTATTGCACTGCAGAAAGCCCCAGAGCCTCCATGGCAATCTCACGGTTGTCCATCTCATAGGCATATCCCAGATGGATCAACGGATGTCCCAGCCCACCAATGAGTCCATTCACAAGAGGTTGCTCTCCACTGAATATGTACTCGTCCACGACCTTCTTCCAATTGTACGAATGCTTCGATACCAAGGCATCTTCAAAGAAGTCAATGAAAGCCCTCTGGTAAAGCTTGTCGCCTAGGAACTCTCTCCAGTCCTCCTCGGTGAGCTCGGCGGGCGAGTCCTCCCACGGCTCAAGCTCCTGGGCCTCCTTGTCGTAGATGTGATGCAATTGGTCAACGCTTGCGCCTAGCAGGTACGCCGACGACAGAATGTGTGGCATGTGGTTGTCGAACCGCAGGTCATGGTAGATGATGGAGTGGTTGACGTGGTTTGCGCGGATCAGGTGCTTCAGCGTCCGCGGCCGCTTCTCTGGAGCTGTCTCGACATTGTGGACCTCGACGGGATCGAGTTTGATGGCCTGTGATGCGTTGCCGGATGAGACGAATTGATTGATGATAGGCACGTAGGAGAGTAGGTTCGCCATCTTCGTTGTGCCTCTTATACTCCGCTATGGAGGCATCATCGGTGTATGGGTTGGAGAATATCGGGCACTGGTGTCATTCTTGTGAAGCTCCTCAGTGCACAACACTTTATTTGTTGGGGCTTGTTGGCTGTGACGTCGCCCATCGCCCGGTGGTCTGGACCCTTGTGCAGCCCGCCTTAGCCGCTAATTGCCGTCGCATTGACAAGCAGTTGGTTGGGTGATTATTGACTTAAGTTAATAGCTCCTGATACACGCCTGCGTCAGATAGCCCCGCCCCCACCTCAAAAAGCTCCAGCATAGTAGAATCTCCAGACTTGAATTTCATCTACAATCCAAAATCTCGCGATCTTCCTACACACATCTCCAAGAGGCATTGCACCCCTTCACCATGGCTCCGAATGCTATCATTGCTCCCTCAATCCTGTCGGCGGACTTCGCCAAGCTGGGAGAGGAATGCGCAAAGACAATAGCCCAGGGGGCTGACTGGCTCCATGTTGACATCATGTAAGTCCTAGCTCTTCGTTCTCGAGATACCGCTTTGCTCTGGGATGGTCCCTAGTCTGACTATTTCTCTATGCATCAGGGACGGCCATTTTGTTCCCAACATCACCTTTGGCGCTCCTGTAGTTGCCAAGATCCGCCCGCATGTCGACCGGCCCACCACAGCCTACGGACGAGGCACCTTCGACTGCCACATGATGATCGCGGAGCCCAAGAAGTGGGTCAAGGACTTCAAGAAGGCTGGTTGCGATCTATATTGCTTCCACTATGAGGCTGCGTTCTCCGATGCCTCCGAGGACCCGTTCGGCAAGTCGGATGTGAAAACGAGCCCGAAGGAGCTGATCAGGTACATCCATGAGTGCGGCCTGCAAGCCGGTATCGCCATCAAGCCCAAGACAAGCGTCGATGTACTATGGGACATTCTCGAGACGACCGATGATAAGGAGCGACCAGATGTCAGTATATAATGTTCCAGCATGCTTGAGGCTCCGGAGATGAGACTAATACGTTTGGTAGATGGTTCTGATCATGACGGTGGAGCCAGGGTTTGGAGGACAGAAGTTCATGGCATCTGAGCTGCCCAAGGTGGAGGCGCTACGGAAACGATACCCCGACTTGAACATCGAAGTCGACGGCGGCCTTGGACCTGGCACGATCGATCAGGCGGCCGACGCCGGAGCCAATGTCATTGTCGCAGGAAGCGCGGTATTCGGTGCCAAGGACCCCTCAGAGGTTATTGCTCTATTAAGAGAGACATGCGACAAGAAGAACGGAAAGCTGTAAGAGGGATTGATGGCCCCTCATTGATGCTGTTGATGATGTCACGAGAAGGAGTTGTAAGCAATTTATTGGGTATAGAGGCTTGCTACTCGAAGGCAATAGAAAATATCTGACTATATCTCAAACCGCACTATTTTGCTCAAGTGCTGAGGCTATCGAGCTTTTATGTCATATTCTTTACCCAGTGTAAACCTCAATTAACTAAGCGTGATTCTACCCCTATTCAGGTTGACTACGCTGTGTCTAGGCATGGAGTCTTATGAGCGATTCTATGTCACTGTTAACTTGGAAACTTAGTGCTTCCAGGATGAACTGACCTGAGTAGAACCCATCTAGATGACATACACATAGCAGCAGCATTTGTTTTCAACGCGAAGTCGTCCGTTACATGACAACGCATCTCATCTCGCATCCAGGGTCGGCTCTATTCACGCCTCCTCCGAACTTGATGCCCCTCTCCAGCTTGACTAGCATGCGGATTCTGTTGTAATCGTACACTCCACCAAAATAGTGAATTGGGCAGTGCTCGCAGTCGTAGTACTTCATCGCCGGTTTGCAAATGCCATTGGCGATATCCGGGCATGTGCAGAAGCCCATGCCATAGCCGCATTGCTCATCGACACGGAGCCACCGGCAGCCGCAGCCTCGACTTCGGTAAAGAGCTGTGTTGCACATCGTGGAGGTGTCGAAGCGGTGGGGGTAGTTCAAGGTTGAATTCTGGCTGTTGCTTGCTCTTGATTGTTTCGTTTCCATTACATCTGAGGGTAAATTGTTTTCAAACATGTGTAGGTATAGGCATTCAACTCGAGAACTTGACTATGATTCATCAAGACGACGCATAGGATCAAATCTTAGACAATTGACGCAATAACAGTCATTCATATTTAAAAACGGCTATGTATGGTATCTCATGCTATACTTTACAATCTAAACAAATCATCCAAGACTAATGAGTAGCCAACGCTTTGCAGGGAAGTAACTACCACACGAGTTTCCCCTTAATCATTTATCTCTATACTGATACACCTTGACACGGCGAGGGCGTTTTCATCGGTTCGGGCTGGCATGAATGATTCATTGCTCGTCCGCCGTCCGATCTAAGTCTCTGAGTGTACCGGTCTTGCCCGCTTCGGACTCCTCTTCCATGCTCTGGTCATCATCCAGGTCGCCAACAAGTTTCGCCAACATTGCCTCGATACGGGCATTGCTCTCCTCAAGAGCCTCAATTCTCGTCGATAGATCGCTCATCTCCTCGCTGTCACCAAGGATTCCAGAGATCTCTTGTCTGAGACCGGGAAATGGCGCAATGCTGTCCCTCCTGCTGACCATCTTGAGTGGTTTAGGCTGCGGCGTCTGTCGACCGTCTGAATCTGTCCGTCCATCTCTGTCACCATCCGCGTCCTTGCGCGAATCATCTTTCCGCGTGTCCTCCTTACGTTTACTGAAAGGAAGATTGGGCGAGTCCACGGTGTTGTTCCGAGTGAATTGGCGCCGGATCAGATGGCGCGTCAACTCGTCATCGACCGCAATATCCTCCTCAATCTCATCGGGCGGTGGCAACTCAAATACCGAGTGTATGTCTCCGTGTGTCGTAATGCGCCATTTCTCCCAGAACCATTGCCTCGACCGGTCACCCGCCGTATTATTCATGGTCGTCACCCCATCTACGGGGTCTAGAGGCAGTATGCTACGGCGTTCAAGGACGGCGATGATGAGGAGCAGCGGCAGATTGAGCAATCGCACTGCTGCCACATGAATCTTGTGGAACCATCGCGGGTTCACGAGAAATTTAAGGGGTACGAGAATGAACATCGCAAGAATGTTGAACGGTGGCTGGTAAGCAAATATGGCATCTCCCTTGACGCCTTCCAGAGTAAGTACAGCATGGCGAAATTGAATCTCGGCAGTAGCGTTAGAGACAATTGTGCTGAATGTGTTAGACAACATTGACACGAGGATAGTGAGGAATAGAGTGTTGCCTAGGAAGGCAAAGGCAACCATAAGTGAAGGCCCGAGAAGCCAGTGGAATTCAGGCTACAGGGTGCACGTTAGTATGAGGTAGATGCATTAGTAGGGCATATATCTTACCGCTTGCTGTATCCCGGTGCCGTCAAGACCAAACCAGATCCATAACATCCACTTGCTGACAGTGACTGGAGAATGAGCACCCTCGCCAAGCCAAATGAGGGAGAGTAGAAAGCCTGCGAAACACCTAGAGCCAGGGTCGTTAGCTCCACACAAGGAACTTTATTAGATAGGATACTTACCAGGCTGCGATGCCAGTAAGCAGGGTGAAGTCGGCCATCATAGCTCGAAGAGAGACAAATAGGAGGTTGTTCGACAAGAGATTAAAGGCAAGTCGAGGGACAAGGACTGGCGCGGCAATAGCGAGCACATCGAGAGCCTGTTGACCTGGCGCAATCGAGCCGATTCGCCATCCGTGGATCCGAAGTATGAGGTAGGCCCAATAGATGATGCCAAAACTCACGTCGAGAAATGCCCACAAGTTTTGTGTATAAACGTGCCTGTCACGCAAATGAGCCGAAATTCACTGCTATGGGGAAATAAGGGGGAACTCACCAGCCGTGTTCTAAGATCGTAGCGAATTGATCCAAAACCCAGCCGAATGCATACACAGAAAAGGCCACTTCAAGAACACTAAGCCTTGATGGATCTCGTTCTGCCATAAAGACCAAGTAAAGAAACAGGAGAATAATGAATTGCATAATCTCCAAGATGTTTCTGGTACGGGGCACAATGAGGCGGTATTGGTTCAGGATAGGTGATGCTCGAGGGTCATACAATGATATGGGCTTCTGCTTATAACGATCTGGAATGATATCAAGAAAGCTCGAGGGCGTATAAATGATTCTGCCTTCATAAATTGCATCGATGCTTTTCAATGTTAGACGATTTATCGTGGCTGTATTTGGATTTTTACTTACACCTTCTGACAAGACGTTGAGCTCAGAAAGAGCTTGCTTTCGCTGAGGATTGCAACCTCTAGGGCCGGTAGTGTGGTATGGTATGTCCAAGAGGTCGACTCTAGGGCTTGTTGACGAATCTCCTCTGGCGCATTCTGAAACGGCTCGAATCCTGCGACGAGGATGTGAGCAAGCACGAGAAGACCTTCGGCGCCGTCATTGTCCTCGTTGAATCGACGTAAAATCCTTGTGGCAACAAGCTCACACAAGATAGCTCGTGTCCAGTTGACGTTTTGCCGATTGTGCAAATGCGATTGTTCGTGCAGGAACTGTGCGCGATTGACAAGCAAACAATATACTAAGAGCAGGTCAGCATTGACGTTTCGTCAGAGACTGTGAATTCGACACAGCATTGTAATTTGATCGATTAACATGAGTGACATCAACGAGCGGTATAACATACTTATTGAGATATCATCGAGTTCGTAAAGCTTGTCGACCAAAGGCCGCACAACGGATATGTTAATACGCACATCCCGTAACTGCTCTAGACTCAAGTAATCCTCAACTATCGAGATGATATCTCTTCGTATTCGGTGGATATTTGTGTAGACTGGCAGATGAGAGTGAGGGTTCGCAACACAGGAGAAGAGCGGTTCTGGCTCTGGCTCGTGACTGAACTGATTTCTCAGCAGCAAAGGCCGGCGTTCAGGCTCTTGCACTTGGACCCTCCGACGTTGAGGCCGGCTATTGCTGCGTTCACGTTCCGACATCCTCTCAGCCCGTACGTGTGTTCTGGAGAACAGTAATGAAGCCTTGCAATGGCCAAGAACTTCACTGAGCCGCGATCACCTCATAAGACTCAACGAAATGAAAATCTTGTTAGAGACGTGCGCTGTGGTTTCGTGCCACTTTATCAGACGCACATTAATGACGCTCTTTACTGCATCGCGTCAGCCCAAGGATTCAGTCGATTTGTTGTTAGAGGTAAAGTCCATAGACAGCGACAATGTCAAGTTCTGGTGAAGAGTGTGGATGAATGATGAAACTCAGGATCTAGACCAAAGACCTTAGATAAGACAAACCCAAATGACGCAGGCATTCACGCTAGACTAAAATATCCTTGCCAAGTACGCTAAGCTTACAGTACCCGACGGGCCACTACCGCCCCCCACAGCGCACAAGATTCACTTGTGGGGGCGAAGTCACCTCTGTGATCATGCCCAAGCATCAAAACACCAAAGCTCCAAGGGGAGGTCATGTTATGTAAATAGATCGTTTCATGTGACTAATTCGCAGACTTATACAAGTACTTTCTTTCATTACTTCTTCCTCTATTGCAGCTATGCTATCGTGGTATCTTGTCTATGCTTCTGAGGCAACCAGGAACCAAATCAAATGCCTGTCAAGAGACGCGGCAATCCAAACCAAGCAGACGTAACTCAAATAACAAGGGGTAGCAAGAAGAATGGTCCCGCATCACGAGCCGGCGATGGACTCTGAAGAGATAGGACTTATCTTAGGTAGGAATAGGGATCCAAAAAGATCAACATCACAGCTGGATGAAGTCCTTTTGGTCGGTAAATTCGACCGCGAGAGAGTCATCTTCCCCAATGAACTCTTCAACCTCGTCAGAGTCAACGTCGTCACTGTCGACCGCATCTCCGTCATCGTCGTCGCTGGAGATGTCTTCCTCCTCCTTCTCCGGCTTTTGCTCGCGAGCAGCCGCGGCTTTTCGGAGGACGCTTGCCCTCTCTCGATGGGGAAGTTTACAGCGTTTGTTCTTACAGATACCGGTATTACTGAAGTCGGGGCACTCGAAAACATGTCGATCTGTGCAATCGATACCATTTTCGCAGTAGCCATAGAATCCGAAGGCTCGGCAAACCGGGGCACTTGGGGCTACCTTCACGTGAGTAAAACGGCAGTTGGTATTCGAGCAGTTGCCCTTGAGGAAATGCACGCAGGTCGGCGTGCGCTCGGGAGTAAGGAGATGAGAAAGATCGCATGAATCGCCGTTCGCACACTCGCCTCTCTGAAGAAAATCTTTGCAAACGGCAACTGTAGACGGGTTGTGGTTGTAGCGGCACTGGGGACCTTTCGGGCAAGAACCTGAAGCACAAAGTGTACATGTCAGTAAATTTCCAGAGAACATACCATGACCCTGACACGAAAAGTCCGTCGTCGCGGGATCCGAGAAGTGGAGTAGGGAGATACCGGTCGTGGAGAAGACCTGACACGGCTGGTCGATCTTCTTGATAGCGCCAGAGCGACTAGTGTTGCTTTGCGTTAGATACTGCATGCCGTCAGAGAGGGCGACGTACCGCTGCGCCTTCACAATGCCATGTCGATAAAGATTGCCATTCTTGCTTCGATAGAACTTAACTCCAGCAATGGTGGCAGTCTTTGGTGTGGCGGTGGGCGGATTGTTGTCACCTTCACGAGCGTAAGCACCAGTCGAGCATGCTTGACCTGGTTGCGAAAACACACCGGGTAATTTGACAAGCTTGCTGCCATTCTTCGTGACACGAAAGCGGATTCCATCAAGCGTCACCTCGTAGTTGGCTGCGACAGAAGCGTTAGTAGACGCGACCACGGCGGTACCGTTGGCTGCGCGGTTGAAATGATTGAAAAGCTTGCTACGCTCCCGGTCATTCCTTTGTTGCTGCTTCTGGAGGCGGGTCTGCTCAATAGCTTTTGTCCGTGCCTGACTCTCCTTCTCGAATACATTGGTGTTGATAAGTTGAAGATGGCGGTCGCTCTTTGTCACCCACGAGGTGGTGGATGCATCAGAGGCGGCGCCAGAATCAGCATCAGATTTGCTCGACGACGTCGCGCCGTTGAGAACAAGAGTTCTGTGTCGATGCGGCGCGGGTTTTGCGACGCGATAGCCACCGCGCGGCGCGTATGAAGCCCGGCCGTGGCCGCGATAGAAACCTCGGCCTGTACCAGGAGCATCTTGGGGACTGTTAAAACCAGCTGTTGCTGTTGTTTGCGGTGGCGAGAACGTACGAATCGGTGCGTGGGAGGTGACGCTGAGACCTGCTGCCTGGTTCTTGTGACGGTTAATTTGACCTACCGTTGAATGATGGTTAGCGGAGTGATTTGCGAGTACGAGGCTCTTTTAACGTAGGAGCAAACTCACCAGCCAGTTGACTGATTTGAGCCATCAAGGCTCTGTCTTCTTCTGACATTGTTGACGAAGTTGCGCTTTCCTTGTTAGAAGATGTTTGTCGTCGAATCTGGATGAATGTAGATAAAGAGAGTGAGATGAGAACAATCTTAGGAGGGAGGAGGGGAGTTTGCCGGATTGCTGGTTGTGAGGGTGAAGTCGCGAGAAGGAAGATGATGGAGATGGAAAGAAATATTGTTTTTGGCGTTTATGACTGTACGATGAGGTAGGTATATACCTACCAACGGCACTTAGATTAGCATATGACCATGCCGCCCGTCTGATGTGCGGCGCTAAGTCTGGCCAATGACTGCCCCTCCTCACTGACTCTAGGTACTACCTACCAGTGGACCTTAGCTAGACGGCTGTTTGATGGGTGTAGCTTTGTTCCTGCTTCCCATGCCGAAATCCGCTTCCGTCATAGGTTCCCCAGCTCTGCTTCACTTTCTTTGACTGCGCTCTTCTTTCAGCGCGACAACAAAGAACGCAAATTAGGGTACTACCGCCCTGCGACGGTCCATCGAGGAGCCAAGATGGCGGACCAAGTTGCCATCAAGCCCGATCCTGAGGCCGACGAGGGCTCTCCAATGGCGCTCGACGACGATGCCTACGAAGATGCCGGGGACGTCGATCTCGAATTCTACCAGCCTATCCTTCCCGGCGATCAGAAGAACCCCGAAGACGACATGATACTCGGCCGGATCCCCAAGTATCTGTGGTCGGCCTGGGGCAGCCTAGATGACGAGGCGCCTCTCGAGGTCGGCAAGGTTCGCAGGTGGACGGATCCCAAGACAGGACAGGTATGAAGGCTGCAAGACAAGCATTGATTGGTTGGTTTGGCAATTGTATCTAACAGTCGTCAGATCCGCATGGCGATATTGTTGAATCCAGGCCGCGCGGAGCATCAGAATCTACCCAAGGAATATAACCTGGAGGTGCAGGAGCATAATTTGAGGAACACATTTGTCTTTTCAGAGGCCGATCTTGAAGGATACAAGTCAAAGAACAAGGCGCGGCAGCAGGCCGCTGATGCTGGTATCCCATCACATCTCCTCAGGGCCAAGGAGAAACCAGCTCCAACCCCAGGTGGCAAACGAGGAAGGCAGGAATACTTCCGCAAGGTTATCCCGAGTGTGTTACACCTGCGCGTAACTCTGCTGACCACTGTATACTGAACGATATCACAGAAAAGACGAGAATAGCCGGGCGACTCCGCACAGAAGTAAGCGCGAACCCTATCGAGAATGATGAAACCCAGCATCTACTCTATGTGCGTGCCCAAGAGGCTGTCAAGCCGAACAGTACGCTGCACATTGTGGACCATCATCTTGTCAGGTCCAATGTTGCTCAAGCAGGAACGGCCACGGGCAACAAGGTCTTCAGCTCATTTATTGTGAGTTTCTCTGTGATGTCCTTTAGGTGTGCAATTGGAACTAACGAGGAATCTAGAAAACGGGCGAGAAACCGAACAAGCAGAAGAGGGCGGAGATGAAGACGGCTCGTATGCCAGAGAACGAACTGCTCGACAGGATTTTCCTCCTCTTTGGAGAGTTCAAGTATTGGTCCATGAAGGCTCTGCGCGGGAGGATTCCGCAACCAGAGGCTTACTTGCGGTCCACGTTGGAGAAAGTCGCCGATTTGCACAAGAGCGGACGCTTTGCCAATACGTGGTCATTGAAACCGGAGCATGAGCGCCCCGTGGAGGGCGTAGCAGAGATGGCGCCGGATGCCAACCTTGACGATTCCGAAGGCGATGGAGACGAGGAGGATGACGAGAATGTCAAGATGGAAGACGTCCTGTGATTAGGATGAGAAAATGTATTACTACAGATCAGCTTGAGTCAAGCTACATTTGATCAAGCGGTCTCTAATGTGTTGGCGTTGGCGGCAAATGGCTGGTATATAGGCATGAAATGGCCGTAGAGGAAGATCGATGACACGATACCCGTAGCATTCAGAAAGAAAGACAATGAAAAGACGAAAAAAGCGTCTCCAACCGTTCGTAGTATTCGCAAAAATTGGGAGAACGAGGGATAGTGCATTGTATCCCTTTAGCGGCGGTAGCTCTGCTCCCATCCTGTTTCGCGCCTATTATAACCTAGCCATGAACTTCTCTGAATTAGTCAGTGATCAACTCTCAAAAAACAACACCCACTCATCAAATCTCTAAGTATCCTCACACAGCATGGCTATGGACATAATACTCGATTTTGATGGAACAATAACCGCTAAAGACACAATTGGCGACATTGCAACATCCTGTCTATCATACCAAAGGGATCATGGGGTTGATTTGACGCGTCCGTGGGACCATATCCTTCAACAGTATATGGTTGACAATGAGCACTACAAGCACAACTTCAAGGAATCAGAAGAATCAAGAACCACACTTGATCAGGAAATAGCGTTTCTGCGTGGGCGGAAGGAGGTCGAGGAGACATCCGACCGTCGTGTTGAAGTATCCGGGTTATTCAACGGCATCGAGAAAGACTATCTGTTCAGGGCCGGGAAAGAGGCAGTTGCCAACGGAAGTGTCCAAATACGACCTGGATTCAAGGACTTCATCCAAACCATGACGCAGAAGGGCTGGACTATATCCATCATGTCAGTGAACTGGTCTGCGTCGTTCATCCATGGCGCCATCTCAGAGCCAGACATCGATGTCGTTGCGAACGAGATCAGCCCCGAGGGCAGGCTCGTTGGACCGGAACTTCTCAAAAGACATGGATGGGACACCGTTCTAGTGAGTTCCGCGGACAAGCTGCACGCAATGCAGAGCACTGTTGAGGACACTGCCGCCAGCAGGTCGTTTTACTTTGGAGACTCTACGACTGATCTGGAGTGTCTCGTATCTACGAACGGTGTTGTCATGTCGGACGACGGCGAGAGCAGTCTTCTCCAAACGTTACGCCGCTTAGGGTACACTGTGCGTCATGTGAAAGACTGTGATGCCGGTGTGAAAATCTGTTGGGCGAGGAACTTCCAGGAAGTTCTCGATAGTCAAGTACTTGATGGGTAGCCCGGACTTTTTGCCTGAAACGGCTTGCACGGCTAGCAATAATCATTATTGTATTACAGAAGCTGCTTGTCTGCCCGTTGCTCTCTAGTGATGGCCATAGTAGGCTCTTTACCAAGACATTGAGGCATCCTCCCATCTGAACAGCTTTCCTTAGCAACCATGCCCTCGTTCAGCAATTGTGCGTAACTGTAGGGTACATTCTCAATTACAATAGCTGCGGATGCGTTTCTTTGTCGTTGATATCTCATGCATCTTCTCTTCAGCTTTGAACAAAGGCACCGGGAGAGAAGAGCATCCAAGACCTTCGAACAATGCCATTGACGTTTTCCTGCACAAAGGCATCCATTACCCGCCAGATTGATCATGAGGATTTAGATTAAATAGATTAAGATAAATAGCAGTCATGATCTCCCATAGCTCTAAAGATCATTAACTCGCCCTGAATCCTCCATCGGCTCATTCCTGTTCACCAGTCGCTCAGCGCCCAACGAAGCATAATCTTCATCACCTTCTGACTTACTCAGTCTTACCAGAAATATGTGCGGGCATCGCAGAGTCGTCTTTCGGAAGTGCTTCCACTATGGCTGGGGTCCAGTATTCAGTAAATGTGCTCAGGAGAAAGCCTTTGATGCTGGTCTGGTCAACGAAGGTTGCAGTGTCATGGTGTCACACCCGCTGGCAACTCTTAGGGTGGACATGCTCTGCAGTAAGTGCGCCAAGAACAAGGACGAGATGGATGAGAAGTTCGCCAAAGCCAGGGAATGTCTAGCCGTGCTTGAGAGCGTCGTCTCCAAGAAACTCAAGGGACGAGTTCCAGACGTCACCGAAGTCGTTGAGATCCCAGCTGAAAGCAACTCTGGAGAGTCCGAAAGCAACGCGGAAACTGATACGGAGAACCTGGGTGAGTCCGCCGACCTCGACGAAACTCTGATCTCACCAGAGGAGGTGAGTTCGTTCCTCGAGAACAAGTTTCCTATGGTTTCCTTGAGCATGGATATTTGAAGATAGAGACGAGCTACCAATGACATGGTTTTCCCTTGAAGACAGAAGATATTGAATCTACTTGTGCATTAGTGACTTGTTAAAAGAATTGATATGACTAGATGACTTTATAACTAACAACCTCTGATACTGGTAGATACTTCAAAACCTAAATCATGTTGTTCATCTAACAGGAGGCTTCGCAAGCAACCTTCTTTAATATTGATAATTTAATGTACAAGAAACTTAATTTAATCAGAAACACTCTACTATGCCCCAGTTGTACTATTCTGCTGTTGAGACTATCAACATCTTAAAGACTCTAATACGCCAATTCAGGGTGCTCTTCACTTACCTGGCAGCGCTAAAGCCAGCCACTGGAGGCGCTGAAGTGTGTCGCACAACGCAGCCCTTACCCTCGACGACCTGTCACGTCACATTAGGCGCCGTCTTCAGTGGTTGAGCGTTGCCCTCCTCACTCGTAGTCAGGCAGTGGCAGGAGCTTGCACCGCCATTGCTAAGCCCCCTCAAATGGCACCCACAGTGACGAAGGGGCTCTGCGCCGCGCCGCGCATGCAATTAAGAGAGAAGGAGAGCTGAAATAGCCTCAACTCCAGGTTTGGATCAACCCTCGACGGCTGGCGAGTAACTGAAAAGAAAGCGGGTTGCAGCGCCGGCTCCCTTTGACCACCTTTTGTTACCTTTTTCTAGCATTTTATTCACATCATTATTACCTGTACCTGGTGACCACGACCGTCCCGCCAAACGATTGAATCGCAGTCGATCCGATCGATCCTGTCCGTGCCGAATAGATAGACGGACATACCAACCAGCCAGGCATTGTACAAGCATTCGACAGGGGGGACCCGCAGCTGGTGTTACGATAGCGAAAGGGCAATCTAAAGTGACGTGAAGTGACTTGACATCTGGTCTGGGTTCTGCCGCAATGGGCCTTCGTGACATCCTCAAGAAGAAGGACCGGATTGAAGATGGAGAGCAGGATCCCGACACCGTCAGCCGCCTCGCCGCCCCCGAGTTCACCTTCATCCGCTCCGACACATACACCCAAGAGGTCATCCATCCCCCGAGCGATCCCGCGAGTCTGAACGGCGACGATGACAACTACCTGACCGCCAAGGACAACAACTCGTCGCGCGCCAGGAAGAGCCTTGACGTCTTCAAGTCGCGCTCGCGGGGCTCGTCCGTTTCGAGTAAAACGAGCACGACTGAGAAGAGGGAATCCACACACAGACGCCTCTCGCAGAGGCTACATCTAAGTCGAGCGCCGGCGAGCTCGGAGAATGTACCGCAGGACTTGCCCGAGATCGTTGCGCCTGTCGAAGGACAGGAAGAGGACAAGGAAGGCACCGAGTTACAATGGGAAAAGAGAGCTACAATGTTGGCCCAGACGGCCGGAGAGAAAGAGGCACTACATCGAAGCCGACCAAGCTCGCCTATCAATTCAGTATCCGTGGACTTCGCCCAGATGCAGGTAGCAGACAGGAGCACAAGGGGAGCTTCACCCCAGAACGGAGTAGTGTCCTCCCAGGCCATAGATGCTGATATCCAGGAAGCTATTCGGCTGCATGAGGCAGGGGAGCTGGAGCATTCAACGCGCATCTTTGGCAGGTTGGCCGATCCAAATGGCGCAAACAATCCCCTGAGTCAAGTGCTCTACGGGCTTGCATTGAGGTAAGGACGCCCCCATCACCCCCATTCAGGCACGATTGGCCTTCATCATCGTCGTGCCATGCCCATCTTCGGTCTTGTGAGCTCTAAGATTTGCACGGGCTCTCTCTATGATGCAGCTCCAGAGACCCTTATGCATGCCCATCACACTCCTTGGGATTCACGCACACAGATTGCACATCGTATGGTCGTGACGACGGCCACGCATCCTCCCCATTGTCCAATGATCTAGAGACTGACTGTCTGCGTTCCAGGCACGGGTGGGGTTGCACGCCAGACCCAACAGGGGCCGTAACCTACCTGTCCGCGGCGGCGTCGAATGCTGCCGTGGTTGAGAACATGGCTCTACAGGCAGGACTCAAGAAGGGCGGTGCTGCGAAGGGCGAGCTCGTTCTTGCCATCTTCGAATTGGCCAATTGCTTCCGCCATGGCTGGGGCATCCCCAAGGATCCAATAGCTGCCAAACAGGTGGGTCGATCTCCCTTGCCTTCACGATGCAAACGAGACGGGAAAACCTGGAATCGGGTATCAAGCAGAGTGCCGCCCCTGTTGGGTGTCTGTCCGCTGGCATATCCGGGCCAGGGATCTCGATTAGGAGGCATCAAATATCATCTCATGCAGTGACTGACGGCATGATGTTGCAGTATTATGAGACCGCGGCGAATCTTGGTGATACGGGTGAGTCAAACCCTGGACTGATGGTGCCCAATGGCCAAGATAGCTGACCTAGTCACAATTTCAAAGACGCGATGAACGAGGCAGCTTGGTGCTATCTTGAGGGCTTCGGCTGTAAGAAAGACAAGGTAAGCGGCCATTATCACAGCCCTTCCATGCCTACCTAGGCATCCAGCATCGTCGTTATGGTGCCGGCTGGTGTTAGTTCCCCACGGCGTCGATGACATGGCATAGTACTTTATGGTATGGCCTGGAGGAATCAGCCTCATTAGTGTGGCTTGCAGAGCTCGTGTTGCACAAGATTTGCTTCCTGGAGAGAGCTCTGAGCTGCATGGCATCCAGCCTAGTTGCTTGAATCTTACGGTTGGGCATCAACGAGGCGTGGCCCATATCACAAATAGATTGGCCGCGCAGGAACCCCCACACATCTCATTCGACCGATTTACCACATGAAAGGATGAGGCTGACATAGTGCTATTTTCCCTCTCTGCAGTTCGCGGCAGCAAAATACTATCGGCTAGCTGAGCAGAATGGGAACAAAACGCTAGGTAATACTTGGTAAGCCAGATCCCCTTTCACACTTGTCTCATCCCCCAATTCGCGAGCCTATGAGCCCAGGAGGCCCTTTTTTTCAGCCCAATCCCCAAGCTGCATGTCCGGAACGGGGATAGAAACGAACAATGGTTCGGGTGTCGACCCTCATGCATAGACTGCGTCGCAGATGACTTGCACGCCAGTCGTTTGATAGGCTGTCGCTGCTTCCGGCGGCCCCCAAAACCACTGGGCCGCCGCCTCACTTTTTTCCTTTGGTATCTGTGTCGCCGGAGACGTCTTAGCTACAGCGTTAGCTGTGAACCCGATTTTCTGGAAGTGGTAACAGGGGCCGATTGGGTTGAACCTCGAAAGCACAAGCCCGTCGTCGAAGTCGACGTAACGGCATCGTTCTCCATCCCAGCGGCCTTAACGGTGACGTTCACAGTGTCACCGTCGGGAAGTGCATGGCTGCCGAAGCCCTTCCTTCAGCTCTGGCTTGACTGAGACTAATGGCCGCTTGCATTAGGATCTGGAAAGACAAATACACACCTGGCTATAGCAAGAAGTAGAAGGCTCGCGGCTACAACATTAGGCCGCGATTGTCAATACGCCATTCGTACCCGTCGTGGTACGCTGACGAATGATTAGCATATTGACAATTGAGGATTGCCGAGGTTACTCTATCTGGAGCACAACCACAGGGACACTAGTGTTGTAAATGGAGACACAGAGGTACAGGTAGACATGAAGGGACAGACCGTGTCTGTACCACGCCACTACCTATGAGTACCTGCTTTGCAATACGGTTCATGACGATGGTGGAATCCCTCGTCTGGTTCTTGGTTTGAGGCGAGATAAGTCTCTCGCCCAGAACTTTCAACATGGTCAGGATGTACGATATGTGAAATGGCGCTCGTGCCTTACCTTCCGGCTTGCAGCGCAGCCCAATTTCTCTCCGCGCCTTCACATACGGACCTGAGAGTTATCTTGGAAAGCAGCACGGAGTAATGGCAATCAGGTTACTGGCATCACGATGGAGGCGTTTCTGGTTATTGCCTTGCATTGGATCTCGTGGACTAGGGAGGCGAATATGATTACCATTGCATTTTCCGGACATTGTCCCGTTGCTCTGCATACATATAGTGACTGCGTCAAATCGCTCAACAGGCGGCAAAGCCATTGGAGGAGCCCCAACTCCATCAGCCCATGCTCCCAGCCTGAGCTGCACTGGTCGGCAGACCATCGCGGCTCTTCGCGGGCTCGCCTCGAGCCTTCCCGACCATCAATCATGCCAGTCTCGCCGCTGCAACTGACTCGATGAATAGAGAATATCCTGTATGGTCAGCAGCAGGAGCACCAACAGGAGCAAAAAAAGCACGACATTGCAGCTCAAATTATGCCTCATCGGCCGACGGGTTCCAGCGATCCGAGTCCCTCGGTCTCCCTTCTGCTTGGTCGCCCGCCTGCAGCCCGGTCCTGCAGGCTGTGGCTGGTGTCAGCATCGCAGGTAAGACCGGTCAGCTGAAGACTGAGCTTTCAGAGCAAAATTCCATCGTCTAAACACCTGGTCCAACTACCGTTCTGTCCACGTCGCAGCATGCAAAACTTATTCGAATAGAAGAGAAGGCCATGTGAAGAGCCTCTCGAATCCCGACCACTGCCAGGGGCCCCGAGCGACACGAGAAATGTCCCGGGGCTTGGCACAGCTGTTGGGCGACACGAGACACAGAGTCAAGGCACATCATTTGCCGCGCGAGGGTGTCACGACCGGTAGAGGGGAGGATGTAGTACGACAGCGGTTCGCGTCAGGGTGCGCCGTTATAGGCCGACCATGGCACAAAGATGGGTAGGAGGGAAGAGAAACGGTAGCACAGAGTGTCGAGGGTATTCCCCAGCAGTCAGGAGCGAGCGCATGTACCTGCGGCTTTGGGGTCTAGGGAGGATTCCTGATTCTTGATGATTATGACCAACATCAGATTACGAGGGGGATGATCAGAGGAGGAGCCGGCAGCACGAGGAGGCGGCCATGGATTCCCATGGGCCATCAACTGTGTATTGCGCACTCCCGCTGGACTCCTGACTTCTCTCTCATGCAGGGTGTAATGTGTCTGTGGCAGCTCTCAGCGAGTAATGCTCGTGGTGTGCCATCCGTCAGTAGGCGATCGGCCCTCAGCCCACGAGACCGCTGGCCCCCTCCCCCTTTTGCGAGGTTCCCAGACAATCTCCCCCGGATTTTATTTAGACAGCCGTAAACCAGATAGGTCGATGGAGAAGTCCTGTGGCGGCCCATTCTTTCTATTTGTAGTATTTAGAAGAAGGTTTAGTCGCCGGATTGACGTATCGCACCGCTCCGCTGGTCCACACGCACACGCACACCCGCACCACACCACACCACACCACACCACACCCTCCCTCGCTCGTATAGCGTCGCGCTCTTATACTTTGATGTAAAACAAGGCCATTGAGACCCCCAACCCAGCCTGCACGCGGTGCGATCATTCCAGCACTCCCAGCCCGCTTGTGTGGGCTGGCTTCAACCACTCGCTGTCTCCATCTGCTAAGCTCTCCTTTATTTCATCCATCCATCAGGGCATCGTCGCAGAGGCACAAGCGCAATGCATGCTCTAACACAGCTAGTTACCTGCGGGCGCTGCGCCAACCGCAGTCAGAAGCAGCCTTGATGTCGGACGGATTGGGTAGACATGAGTGAGACATGCACCATGATTCAGATTTAGTCCGTAATGTAAGTCAGTCAGTCAGTCAGTCTTAGGTACAGTATTCCTGTCTCCGGCATTTTTATTTTTAAGACTGGGGCTCTGTGGCTCAGACAGACAGTATGCGTGTGTATGCGTGTAAGTGAGTGAGTGATGTAAGTCGGCGGCGGGTGGAGTGTGGGTACGCACCGGGAGGTGGAATCGAAATCGGGTTGGCTTCTCAGGACTGTCTGTCTGTGTTGCTTTTTTGGAATATGGTCTTTTAAGCTTCTGACCTGGAGCCTGATGACAGTGGGGGTTTCGTTTCTAAGGGCGAGAATCGCCGACAGACACAGCGAAGATCTGCTCATGCTTTCTTACGCGGATTCCCGCAAAGGATTCCTGAGACGCGAGAGGCTGTGCTTAATCTTCTTACAAGTGCGTGATGTCGTCTTCAGTCTGGTCAATGTAGATAGGCAAAGCAGGCACCGCTTGCTTATCAAGGATCATAGGATAATTGGTCATGTTTCAAGTCTCTCTGATATCTGTTTGCTGCCTAGCTACAAGTAGTGTTTCGCTGGGAGAGCAGTGTCCAGCAACAAAAAAATCAGCTCGCTGTGTATCTGTCGTGACATTCATGAGCCCTGTATATCATGTCCTCGCGAGGAGTCATAGCTCGTCCAGCAATCTCATCTCAACTCATCTCATATCATACCAGCTGCGCTGCGCTGTGCTGTAACGTCACCGCCGCCGCTTTCGCGTCCAATTCATGATAAGAAACAAAGGAAGATAACAAAGTAAATGCTTGTGGTGTCGTCGTGAGACGTTGGGGGGTTGCAACTGATAGTCCATCTTGCTCCCGTGCTCTTCTGCAGTAACAGATACTGTCGGCTGTTCCCTCTCTACCATGCCTGAGGAGAGAGGGACAACCAAAAATGCCCATATGCCCAATCTGCGGGCTGAGACGCTCCAATTTCGTCCCATTGCCCCAAGTTCCACATCCATAGTACAACTCGGACTTCCCGATCCCAAGTGATGTGAAGCCTCCCGTGCACATCCCAGATGATCCAGTTGTGGTGATCCCCTCCCAACCAACCCCCGTTTCGCCATGCCTTGCTACTTAAGTACCAAAAATGTTATGAGACAAACCACCAAAAAGCAAATGAAATGCAAAGAGAAAACCACAGAAATATCAAACGCTTGCTCGCCTGCTAAACCGACCAGAGATAAGTTGCAAAGTTGGAGGACGAAAATGGTTGGGCTCGTGTCGAGCCGTAAGAATCGAACAGTAAAATTTGATGTGCGTGAGCACAGTATGTAGCTGTCGCGGGAGCGGCGGAGAAGTGTATTTGTGCAAGGTTCGCGGGTAATTACCCAAAATAGTGGACGAATGCCAATCGAACCTGGGGGAAAAAAAGAAAAAAAAAAGGTTGTCGTGATAGAATTTTCTTGTCGTTGGGTCATGATGATCATGTCGTGAGACGTATCATTTCGTGTCGTAAATCATGTTTCGGCGTCATTGCCTGTCGTTGCGCCGGGGCTATTGCACTCGGCGACCATCTTAGCGAAGCTGCGAACAACATCACTTGGGATCTGGTCCCAGAGGAGAGACCGCGTGTAAACTTGTGCTTTGTTGTTGCTGCGCATCGATGCAAGGGCATCGGCGAGGTTGCGTCGGCCTTGGCTTGTGGTGCGCTCTGGAGCATTGTGTAGAAAATCCTGGGAATTGATACCGTTATATTGGGCTGGTGTCAGTGAGAATAGCTGCTCGTTGGTCTGTTCCTGAGTTGGTTGTGTCAAGCTGTCGGAAAGATCTCCAAGCATGGAGGGGGCGACGCCATTGAGGCCAGTCATGACCTGCATCGAAGGGACAGGAGCCGCGGCCCAGCCAGTGCTAGAAGGCTGGGCAGCAACATTATCCAGACCACTGGATGCACTCTGCGAAACACCGGCATCCTTGAGAACATTTTCAAGAAGCGTGGCAGCCCCAGCGCGAACATCCTCGGAAACGCGCGGGATGCTTGGCTGTCGGCTCGAGAGGACGAATGCACCGACGAGGAAAAGCATGAAGAGAAGACCGCCCTGGTTGGCGGGCTTTTCAGTGTCGGCAGGTAACTGCACCTCAGGCTTCTTAACAGGGACCATTTGCATTTCAGCCTTGACGTCTTGTTCCATGGGGAAGTCGTTGAGGAAACCCATGTTGTCCCAAGAACCATCCATGGTGAGGCCATCCATGTCGCCAAAGGAGGCGTTAGGATAGCTGGAGGTATTGGCGACCGCTGGGGCGGTTGACATGGCAGCAGATTCAAGTGTCTGGACATGGTTCGTGAGAACGCCAATCTTCTTGCGTAGTTCGCCGGACTCGATGGTATGCGTGCGCATCATCTCTTCCTTCTCGAACTTCAGGGTCTGGATGACTTCAAAGTCCTGCTGCTTCTCTCGCAAGAGTTGCTCCATCTGTGCCTTGAGCTCCTGCATCTCTTCCTCCATCTCGCCGATGAGGGCAGTATAATGCTTCTTCTCATCCTCGAGACGTTCAGTGTGTTGCTTCTTGCGTTGTCGAGAGTCGAGACTATACAGCCAGTTAGCATGATAACAGGGTAGACAGATGTCAGGCACTTACGCTGCTTGTCGGTTTCGTAACAGTCTCTTTTGTTGCTTCAGCTCCTTGATCTCTTGTTCATCCGTCGACTGCTGGATCAACTTGTCGATGTTGTTGAGGTTGCGCTCAGCAGGGATGTCAAAGCGTGCGTTCTTCTTGCGGATGCCATCACCTCTTCGAAGTTCGTTGTGCGAGCGGATGGTAGGGCTGGCGGGACGCATCCGCTTGGGGTCTTTGAGATTGGCAGCCATCCACTGGTCCTTCTGTGGTGATACTGGCATGGACTGTCCATTGACGGACTGAAACATGGGTACATGGTTGGAGGGATTAGAGAACGGCGTCTGCACCTGCATTGACCCTCGCTGGAAGACGCTAGCATCGCTATCAAAGTCGGTTGGCAACCCGTCAAATTGCTGCAAAGGAGTGCAAGAACCAGAGTTGGTCATGGACCAAGAGTGGTTCTGTTGTTGGAACGCTTGGGCCTGCTGGTGTTGCATGAAAGGGTTGGTGTTGTGTTGAGGCTCGATGAAGGGATTATTTGATGGCACAGACTGCATCTCTACCGACTGCCAGTCCTCCGTTTTAGGAGAGAATAAGGTTGATGATACGGCAAAAGACTCTCTCCTGCTCTCGGCCATCGGTGGCGACATTTCTAGGCCAGAATCTAGAGCGCTGTGCTCAAGGATGTTCTCGTCCAGGATGCTGTCCTCCTCGTCGAAGTACTTCTGTGCGTGTCTTGTGTCAACCGTCAATGGTTGTCGATAAAAACCCTGCATCTGAAATGTTGAGACCATTGCTGGTCACTGAGGAAATCGCCCAGGTCTATAAAACAATGGGCTAATGTTGAGATGTGAGCTGCGTGAAAACAGTGTGTTCTGTCTGTATTTTGATATGTTGTTAGTCGGCGAGCGGTGAGGGCAAAGCTTGCAAGGCGCCCGCTTTATTTTTGGAAATGGCCCGGGGTTCGGGTGCAGGAAGAGGCTTCTCGAGGATGGGCGTTTTGGGTGGAGAATTGGGAAGCGTTTTGGACAAGGGCAGGGCTTGGGAACCCTGTCTGTCAGATCTCTGATGATGTGTGATCAAGAGAGCGACAGTGCAAAAGTGACGCAAAAGAGCCAATTCTCAACCGGCGTCCTCGTGCGAGCATGTAAGAAAGACAGAGGCAGGGTCCGGGAAAGAGGGGAACGGCCGTTGCGGGCGTCGTCGGCGTGGAGGATAAGCAGAGTTGATAAGAGGCTGGTGCAGGTGCTGGGTGCTGGTAACGGTGGGGAGAGCGGGAGGCCGGGAAGCCGGAGAAGTTTTAAATGGAAATAATGGGAAGGGTGGGAATACGGGAAGACTCAGAGCCAGTGTATGTATCACTCACCCCACGGATTCTCCTTCGGATCGATTGATCTGTTTCGGCGTGCTTTGGGTAAGTCTGTGTAAGTCTTACTGCTGCTCCAGAACGCCTGCCTCTCTGTGTGGCAATATCGGATTGAGAAGAGAGACTTTGGGACTTGATGTCTTCTTAAAAGGTCTCAGTTGAAGAATGTTGGGAGTGGTCAGGTATTAAAGATGTAAGTCGCGGTGAGGACGATGAAACAAGGTGGATAAAACGACAAGCGATTATACGTGCAACTTGGACGCACTCGGCTTTCGAGGCGTTCAGAGAGATGTTGAGGATGATAATGATGATGGTGCTGAGGTTTGCTACCTTAACTGAGGGGAGATGACCCTTTTCAATGGGGAGTGGGTGGTGTGCATGGAGTGCCAGAGGCGCTCCTTGGTTTTGTATCTTTCTGTAGACCAGGAAGGGGAGGGGACATGGTCAGGCCGGAAGTTGTGGAGGACATCGGACAGGGGGGGCAGGGCACTCAAGAGACTACGTCCTGCACTGACCGTACCCAACGTCCTCAGTACGGTGGAGTACGAGCTAGCGAAAGCAGCGAACGGGAACTTTTTGCTAGGAACCGCGGGTGGGCGTCGCGTGTACCTCTGTATCTTGACCGTCTCCTCCTGGCTGGCTGGCTGGCTGGGTTGCGGAGCAAAGCAGGGCAGGTTTGTGTTCGCGTGTGGGTGATATTGGCCTGGATGGGGGCACCTGAGGGGGGAGATGGTGTGTGGCAGCTACCTTATGAGCCTATGTGCGAGGGGCAGCAAGAGAGCCCGTCCGATCAGATCGAACGAGGTACAAGAGTACAAGATTCAAGCAAAACGGTCTGGGCAGAGACGGCCTGCGCCCTGGCTCTCCTTTGTGAGACCCGAACCTCTTTGGTAGGACAAGCTGAGCCATATCATGAGGAGAATGGCCGCGAGACAGAGCTACTAAGCCCAGAACGCTGACTGGAAACCCAGAGGCGCGACGGCAGGGGTTCCAGAAAGGTGTTGCAAGCACACCCGAGACGCTTGACAAGGGATTGGTTACCTTATCCACACGGGAGCAGGCAAAGTGCGTGCAGCCGACCGGGACTACCCATTGCAATGATGGATAGCCTAGACACTCCGTCAAGCCACTGTCTAGCGAGCTAGCCCTGAAAGGCACGGGGATGCCTTGGAACAAATCCAACGGTTGTCAAGAACGCGCGCAAAGCATCGCATAGCGCGTCCGCTGGTCGATGTTTTGTTTTGACAGAGCCGATCTTGCTGCTGATCAACTGTATGCATACAAGGAGCTTGTCGCGAAGAAACCGCGATGAGCGACGAAACGGAGCGAGAGTCTAGTCTGGAGGTTACGCAACAAGGCACAACCTCACCTCACCTCACCTCGCAAGCCTGAACGGCGAGGACGTTGCATCCGGGATCGAATCAGAGATCGCTGACAGGATCTAAGAGTACATCGGCCGGAGAGCCGTAGCGCAGAGTAGTGCAGCCTTGCCCCCTGCCCCTGTCCGTGTCCCAGTGCCCACCTCGCGGCTTCACCCTTGCTACTGTCACCAAAGAAGGTAAATCTGGTGACGGGGGGCGTTCCCGGAGCCAAAACAAGCCCCAGGGTGCCGGGAGAGGGCAATTAGACCCAGTGAGCTCGAAGGGGCAATCAGGGGTGGAAAAGTCGGTAGGAAGAGCGCAGCAAGAGTCAAGGGCCTAGCAAGCGAGTGGTTCTCCTTCGGGGACTGACAGAATCGACTGGCTATGGACATCAGCCCTGCAGAAGGTTGGGCAGAAATGGCCTTATGGGCATCGATACCCAAAGGTGCTCTGCTGAGCCGGCGCACCCAGTGACCTGCCGTAGAGCAACAGCCACCTCCCACATCCAAGACAAACCCCGCGAGAGCCACAGAACCCTTGCCTTCGAAGCGAGAGACAATGCCCCGGCAGGATGTTCTTTAGCACCGTTCCCAGAGACCACTTGGAGCCACTGGCTGCCTCCTGAGGACTCCCATTGCTTAGTGCCGGGTGGGGTGGACGACACTCCTGCCAGGCACTGGCTCACAGGAAGCTGCACTTCTATTTGTGACCGTCATTAGCAATAGACCGATCGCCGCTGTCCTCGCGGCGTCGTTCGTTGCTTGCTTGGGTACTTTGTTTGCACGTTGCTGCTCGAAGCGTGATCGGAGGGTTTCCAGTGGTCTGAGCTGAGAGCGAGCGAGAAATGAACGATTGTTAAGGCTCTCGCGATGGAGCCTTCAACATCTGCCTTGCCAAATAGGAAGACATCCAGACCAAGAAAGAGACTATGATACATAGTACTTGGAGTCATAGGTAGCCGTAGGGTCCGAAGTGGGCATCGTGATGGTGCGGCGTGATCGACAACGGGAGATCGCTGGAGGTTCCCGTGCCCGTCCGCTGCAAGCTGCTACCAGACCCTCCTGCGTAATAAGCGTAGTAACAGGCCAGCGAAGTGGTCATCCTCATCATTCCTCGTCCATCCACAGCCTCAGTATGAATTCGAGTCGATGAAGAGCTAGAGGTGACTGCTGACAAGCTTGGAAAATGAGAGGCATTACCTACCTACCTAAGGTAAGAGACTGGGGGATAGGTACACCACTTCAGATGTGCTCGCCTGAGCCTGGGTCCCTCCTTCCTTTACTATGGTCCATAACTTGGCACTATGGGGTAGGTCACTTGAGGGCATTGAGTCCATCTCGCCTTCCTCTTTTGGTAGCGAGCAAAGCTTCTCTACCCATGGGTATGGCCGATGACCTAATCAGCAAGAGATTACTTGGCAATTCGAGGTTTATGTCACTGCTGCCCGACCACCAAACGGGTACACTACCTGAGACACACTGGACAACACAAGACAAGCACCGTCGAGGCTCTCATCGAGTGCTTTCCTCCCTCGATTCTAGATACAGCCTTTCTGTGATGCTTCGCCTCACAATTGTTGATTGTTGTTCTCTATCTCAATCTCAGTTTGAGGTTCGCGTGTCGGGCGGGTCTCATTCATACACTACACCTCGCACCGCTACTAGAGCACCGTTTACTTGGGACCCACTCATCCGGCCCATACCTACCTAGGAAGTATCAACATCAACATCAACATCAACAACTTCTTCATCTTCATCTTCATCACTCGCGGCCTCCTTTCTCGCGTCTTGCCGAACACACCGAGCAGCAAAAAGTCGGTGGCTGGGGAGCTCTGGAGACCCGCCAAAACAACGCCCGATGTTTGGTTCCTCCGCGAGCGCTCTGTCCTTTGGGTAGCGTCCAGTGTGCGATGTGGCCGCATATCAAGCGGCCGACTCGTGGAGACCCAAGCCCAACGCAAAGTCGGTGTGTCTCTCCTTTTTGATACGCGTGCTTGCTCCTGCTGGGCCGGTCTCTTTGCCCTCAGCACGCGTTTTGAGCAAGGAGGCGTTGACGGCTGGTTTGTCACTCGCATTGCTCCATAATGAGCCTTACTGTGATTCTCGTGTCATTCGCCCGGTCCGTTCCTACCTCGCACCGGGCTGGACAATGATGCGCATGGCTTCTTCATGGTTTCTCCCCTGTTATGCGTCAGATATACCCACGCACCATGTTCGCACCTCTCCACACCGTTTACCTCGCCGACTCGCAATGCATGACCCTATCTTGTCCGTTTCATCATCCGTGACAATCGAGCAACGAGGCGATACTAGCGTACTCTCTCCATGCCATACACTCCCTCTTACGATTCATGCCCGTTCATGCCCTATGCTACTGTTGCCAAGGTGCTCACAGCTTCCATCGGAAAGGCAGGTCCTTAAGCATTTTCTTTTCACTCACAGCGGCCCATTGGCCGGCCCGTGAAACTTCAGGCACACGCTCTCTCATGCCAATCAGTATCTAGGGCAATGACGTCTGCTACAACCAGAAGGTCCTCCTCTCTTTCAGCCTCTCGAGCAGGATCCCTTGATTCCAGGGCTGTGGCTTCGCATCGGAAGCTGCCGGGAAACAATACTCGTCAAGTGGCTTAAATGGCATCCCATTTGTTTATCACCATATCTTGTTGGTTTCACATGTTTATCTGCTGCCGCCTGACTCCTTTTAGTAAGAAGTCAATAGTGATGCTTCAGAGTATCAAATCCTCAGAAGTAACCACTAGGAACAAGTACTCGATGTCCCGCACGTGTCATTGCGATGAGAGGCTGCAAGATTCCGGAGGGCTCGGCCACAAGAACCGGCCGATCTCGATGCAGCACACCCTGCTTCTTGACGACAACCTCTCACATTGCTCTGTCAGGGGATCAGAGACTGACCGCCATAGCCTAACCTAGTGTTGTTGCCCAATGTTAAGGTAGCGCAATTCCTGGTCAGCCATGGCAGACCCTAGATGCGTCGTTACTTGATCTAGGCTTGGAGGTCAAAGGCGGTCACGAACATCGAAGGATTGTTTGTGTTCCTGTACTTCACCCGAGAACATCGCGTTGCAACTGGCCGGCGTTCGACAACGTCAGTATTGTCTATTAGTCGCCAGGTTCTGAGTGGCAGTCGTATTACGATGTCAATGCTCACTCTCTTACCATTTTACCTTTCACCGGGGTTTCCTGCTACGTAACCAGCTGCCTCTTGGGTCAGGCTCCTAATATTATAGCAGAACGTTTCCATTTCGGACCATACTTGGATAGCATTATCAAAGTGAAAAGATGTCGATGACTCAGACATCATTCGTGGTCTCCAACCCATGTCCGCGGATCCTAACACCGGGCTCTCACCGTCACTCTGTTGCAAAGCATATGCTATAGTCGATGGACCCGATATGAATGGCGTGCACAGGGCATCACGACATCATGTCAGGCAAAGCACTTTCACAGTCGGGTCAACTCTTTCACCTAGATGTCATCGAACGATTTTGAGCTTTTTTGTTAACGATCGTGAACGGTGCGCGCAGAGTCGAGATCACTGGCTGGGGCCTCGCATTGCGGACGACTAAGTTTTCGGTAGGCTGGGAGACTTTGGCGGTGAAGAAATTCTATATTCAGCTTCCTAGGATCTGGCTTATGTCGACTTAGCTCCGAGAGATACGTAAGAACGACCTCCTACGCTCCAACTCGAGCTTTTGGGTCTAAGCGACCACACGCAAACAGGCGATCCTTAATCAAATATTCGTATTGACATTTCTGTACGCATCATAGGTTGCCGATCACATGGAGTTCAAGCCGATATCCACGCTTCGCTGTACTTGAACTCTGTGACATCTGGTACTCTCGCTTGCTGGTGTTCATTGGCATTCTAGCCGCGGCCCCAGGGTTTCTAAACCGACCAACGCCCCTTCTCCTGCATATCATGCGATCCTCTGCCAGCCACGCGGCAACCTGCATTTGACGAGAGTACATGTGCAGTGTTGTGTTATTTGCTTGGTAGCTCTGGCCTGGTGCTGACACATTTAATTACGAGAGGCCTAGTCCGCGCCTGCAATACTGCGAATATGTCGCGACTGGATATCATCACTCAGCCGAACTCAGCTCTGTCTTGTTCCTAGGTGAAGGGTTCACTATTTCGACGACCCATGTTTTAAATCCCATGCGCATTTTCTTTTCCCAAGCCTTCATTGCCACAAACATGCGTCCAGCCTTCACTAGTCCCACCCCGATCTGGCGGTGAAGACAAGGCGGCACCCAAATTTGGGTATGTCTATATTAGCCACTATCCTGGATTGGGAGGCTCTCTGCGCAGCTAAGATTGGATCTTGAAACGTGGAGACGAAAGGGCTTTTCTGTAGCTTGACAGCGGTCAGTAGTGTTTCGTGTAGATGCACTTATTCTCAAGCACGTCCATAATACCTAGGGTGTCGCAAGGACCGTCTCCCGCATTTTGCTCAACGTATGGCTATGCACGAAAGTCTATAAAGGCGTGACGCGAAGTGGAGTGTCTGTCATACAGAGCTATTTTTCCGAGCTCGGCGTTGACAGCTCTTTGTAGTCTTTCGGAGCGCACGACGTGAGTGATACAGCCATAGGAAACTCAGGCACAGTGGAGCCCCCATACGTTGCAGAAGCCTGCAGAGCAACAATTTCTTGTTCAAACGAAACGGATAGGATCGGCAAGAGGGTGTGATGTTGCACGTGTTGGACATTGTACTCGACCAGCAACCAACAGAGTGATCTGGTATTGAGGCACTGCCTGGGAGATTTTGCATTCTATATCAGACTCTCAGTGCAGGCAATAACGTAAATGCTTTGATCATGCATGGGGTATCATGTTATCGTTATAGCTAAACTGTAGGTACATAGTTTTAGTTCTATGCAACTCTGTGTCGTGGATACTTATTTGAAGTTCCACAACTTCACTAGGAGATTGTCCGCAACGCCAGAGTCTGGCTCTTGGGGGAGCAATACCCTCTTCGGTATCTGAAATTCAATGACAGGCGCCTTCTTTACGTCCTTGACCATCTCAGCCTCTAAAAGACTGCCATAGGAGTGATCAAGGAAATCCTCCAGATTGTAGATCTGCTTTGTGAACTGCTCCGACATGATCTTCGTGATTGTGGCAACGTTCGGATGGTAATGTGATTGCAGTTGAACAATTTCCCAGAGACAGCTATCGATAGCATGTGTTTCCATGGGATCCTCTTCGTTTGGGAGGAATGGGTCCTCCAAGCCCTCGCTTACTATCGTGTCTTTTTCTTCCTTCGTCCGCGGCTCACGGTGGAGCATGAAGGTACACAAGGGATGCTTCTTGAACAAGTTGTAGAACCAGGGAATGAGGGTGACTATGGCACTAGGGGGAGCGTTGAGGCTCAACCTCGCCAAGCGCTTGATGAAACTGGCGACAAGCACAGCTGGTAGATGAGATGACTCGAGGAAGGTGTCAAGAAGGCGGAAGAACCGAGAGCGGTGTTTGGAGTGAAGTATGTCAGCGTCCAAGAGCGAGTAGAGCTTCGTGTAGAATAGCGGGTAGTCTAAGTTTCGCTCTTGTATCAAGTAGAAAACACCAGAGAGGGCGAGAAGGGACATGGATCCACCAGTGTTGTAACAATCCGTTAGGAAGTCCATCAGTAGCTCTGGTTTCGTGAACCAAGGCGCAACAACCTTCGACATGATGTCTAGGATGCTCTTTTTCTGATCCTTAGTCAAGCCTAGGCTCATTAATGCTAGCCATGCTTCCTGTGCTTGTTTCTTATGTTGTGAGATTGAGAAGAGTGGGTTGCCCTTCTTCTTCTTGATTGTGTCGACATAAAATTCTCCTAACTCCTCGTTTGAGGCGGGAACACCTTCGATAGAAGAGAGAAAGTCGAACACATTCCCGATCAATGCCTCATCCAGTGTCTCGGCATCATTACTTGCCAAGAGATCCGTTACGGCTTTGAATGTATAGAAACGGACGTCATCGAATTCATCCACAAACTTCTCCAAGTACTCTTTTCGAACTGCATCGTCAACACCTGGTTGCATTATAGAGCTGACAATCTGCGAAAGGAACACTCTCGGGAAGGTTATGTCGTCTTTCTCGCTGAGATACTGTCCCTCAGCTTTCAGCAGGCGCATAGACACGGTCAAAGCACTCGTTGCCAATTCTTCCTTGTCAAACATTGAGAGGAGAGCTGTCTTGTATTCAGCCAGCCGATCTCGTAGCCAGTGTACCAGCACGATTTCTTTCTCTGGAGAATCCTTCTTTCTAAGAAGATTTCCCGAAGCAAGAAGCTTGATGAACACCCTGCAAAGTGACACCGCTGCCACCAGTGCCAATTCTGCACCTCCATTGTGGTTCTGCGAAATCTCGATCAGGGTTGTGATATTGTTGTAGTTCTTCTTCGACTCGAAGATGGCATTCTCAAGCAACAGAATCTCGGCTTGGGGGTCATTTTCTTCGCTGCTCTCGGATCGCGCACGCTTTTTCGGCGGCTCCTTGGTCGCTGAACGTTTCCTCTTCGAGGCCTTGGCTTCCACGGCTGACGGCATGTTGATATGCTCAAAAAAGAACAAGAAATCGTCAACCAGCGTTGTCCATGGAATCTGTGTCTTGGGCAGTTCGAACTTTTTAGTGGGGCAGCTATCGGCCGAAATCCGCAAAAATAGCGCCGACCTGTCCGAGCGGGTCACGTGAAACAATAGCCGAATTAGCGCAGCAAAACCTCAACGTCAATTCGGAGCTCCAAAAGAACGCAAGTCTTCAGCAAATCCATCCCGCCTCATCTCACAATGGCGTCCCGCTTGGTTAGAACCGCTGTCGGTGAGTTTCTCGTGATGATTCGCGATCTCGGCAACCCAATTGGGATCTCAATGACTGACATTCACCCTAGGGGCTGCCCGCCTACGACCCTCCATCTCTCCCCGAACCCTCCCGGCCCTGACCACGCTCACGAGCGCCCGAAGCGCCTCCAACGTCTCAACCGAGGAGCCTAAGGCCAAGGCCCAGTCGATCATTGACGCGCTCCCAGGCAACTCGCTGGTCTCCAAGACCGCTATCCTGTCCTCGGCAGCCGGTCTGTCTATCTACGCCCTCAGCAACGAGTACTATGTTGTGAACGAGGAGACCGTTGTTGCGTTCTGCCTCCTGAGCGTCTGGGGTGGCTTGATCAAGTATGGTGGCCCGATGTACAAACAGTGGGCTGAGGCACAGACCGAGAAGATCAAGGGCATCCTGAACGCCGCAAGAGCCGACCACACTCAGGCCGTCAAGAACCGCATCGACAACGTTCAGCAGATGAGCGGCGTTATCGACATCACCAAGGGCCTCTTCGAGGTCTCTAAGGTACGGATTCACGGAGCTAGAAAGATGATGCGCGAGACACGGTAGTGCTAACTAGTTGCACAGGAGACTGCCAAGATTGAGGCTGAGGTTTACACCCTCGAGCAGAAGACTGCTCTGGCTGCTGAGGCCAAGACTGTCCTAGACTCTTGGGTTCGATATGAGAGCCAGGTCAAGCAGCGCCAACAGAAGGAGCTTGCTGAGTCCATTATTGCGAAGGTGCAGAAGGAGCTAGAGAACCCCAAGGTCTTGCAGCAGATCCTCCAGCAGAGTGTGGCGGATGTTGAGAGTACGTTTCTTCAGATTTCACCTTGCGATTCGAGGAATCAATGCTAATATCGTTTGCAGAGATCGTTTCTTCCAAGGCTCAATAGATGCTGAACGAAGGATCGCCCTTAGATACGGAAAGAGATTTCCTATGTACCTACTTAGTGTCCATAGACACCCTGTGCAATAGTCAATTAAGAAGCCTCGATTCCATCTTTTGTTGATCGTATTTTGTGCACTTTGCTATGCTAACGAATTGCAAGGCTCACATATCTACTTAGTGACACCTAACCTACAGCCCCAATTGATCAGAGTCTCTTTCTATCTTCACGTTTTCAAATTGTCTAGTAAGACCATGGTCGAACCGTGTACTTCTTCGCCTGTTCTGGCTCTTTCTCCTGCGGCCACTCTATCTCGTCCGGATTGATATACCAAGATGGGTCGCCTGCAGTCTGCGTCGTGCTCCACCCATTACCGAGCCATCGAAGGTGATTGCCGCTTGGGTCAGGATTTTCAAAGTTGAAATCTTCCCAACGGACTGATCGAAGAGCTTCCAAAGCATGCAAAGTCGAGCCTGGCCAAAGACCAGATATCCAATTACCTTTTCCTCCCTCCGATCGATACCAAGATCGACAATCGTCCATGTACACGGTATTTTTGAAATATTCGCCAATGTACTGGCTGAAGTCAGCAACCCGCTCCGATTTCGGCTCGATGGTAGCATATTCTTCTTTCTGCATCTTTCGGATGATCTTAACTACATAGTCACACTCTTGTTCTAGGATCTTCGTTAGGCTGCCGAAGCCTATCGCAGAGTTTGGCCCAAACATCATCAGGTAGTTAGGGAAGCCATCTACAGCAATCGATAAATAGCTTTCCGGGTGTGGCGTCCACCTTTCGGCAAGTGTCTGCCCATTTTTGCCTCTCACTTCGAAGTTCGGGGGTGCAGAGATCTTGAACCCTGTTGCACAAGCAATAGCATCGAGTTGGATTTCTCGGCCGGAGGCGAGTTTGACGCCCGACTCGGTTATCTCCACTATAGGATCATTGACAACTTCGACATTATCCTCAGTCAATGCCTCGAGATATCCTTTTCCGGGAGTTAGACGTCTACAACCCGGAGCGAAATCCGGAACGATAGAGTTCAGAAGCTCCGGTTTCTTCGCGAGCTTTTCTCGCATTGATGTTCTGAACTCATCAGTAAAGGCTTTTTGCATTTTTGTTCCCCGAATTGTTGAGTCATGGATCAAGTTTCCACCATCCTCGATAACTTTCCTCATTTTAAAGTAAGCATCGGGGTCTCGAGCCAGCGCTTCTTGCTTTTCCTTTGTAACTAAGACGAGTTAGCCGACAGGCTGAGCCACAGGCGATCGGTATGAAAACACACATATGATATCGTTCGGGTCCAGCCCAAGGGCAACCATAGCTGCATCGCCGAAAGCTGCCGAAATCCAGGTAGGTGACCGCATGAAGGTTGTCATCGAGATGCCTTCTAGTTTCTGAAGACTCGGAACAATTTGAATGGCGCTAGATCCATTCCCAATGACACCGACTTTCTTATGCCGGAAGTCATAACTAAATGATGAATGTCAGTTGAGATTCTATCATTTTCGAGTGGTCATGTTTACCTCTCATCCCATTCCGCCGAATGAAGGAGTTTGCCCTGGAACTTATCGAGACCAGGCAATTGCGGCCAGTTGACCTCATTCAGCTGACCACGAGCTGCGATAACGATGTTCGCTGACTCCTCGAAGGTCTCACCAGTCGAAGTATTTTGAACAGTAATGTGCCACTGCTTATCATCCGCATCCCACACGCACTTTTCAACTTTGTGCTGGGTCTTGATGAATCTTGTGGCGCCATACTTTTCAGCTACATCTTGAAGATACTTCTGGATTTCTCGTCCAGGTGCATACAGAGATGACCAGTACGGATTTGGCGCGAAAGTGTATTGATACGAGTGCGCTATCTCATCAATAGCAGAACGATCACTCTGGGATAATTCATGAGCTTACATGGAATATCACAAGCGAGGCCTGGGTACTTGTTCAGCCACCTAAGTTTGTGTTCGTCAACAGACTCATGAATATGAGAGAGTAATACATACCATACACCTCCTATGCCCTCGTTCTTCTCGTACACGACAAGGTCAATGTTGCGTATCTTTTCAGGTATTCTGGATATGAATAACGGTCAAACAACGACTTTTTCCATTAATATAGGGCCTGTCTTCACCTGATCGCTGCCAATATGCCCGAGAACCCAGCGCCTACCACCCTGACTTTGAGTGGCCGTTGGTTCTCAATGGGAACGTCCTTCAGCGTGAAACTGCCATTTACTAAGTTTGCATTGCCCATTTCCGCTACAAATGTCCGTAGGAACACGCTCGAAACGTTATTGATAACACACTTCAAGAATAGTAGCGGTATCTTTGGGTGGTATTTTAGAAATTGGAACTTGAGGGGGCATTAAGCCACGCAACGGAAGACACAACTGATGCCGAACACGTCCAAATGGCCCCAATGCTCGGAACTGATATTCCCCCACAAACCCATGGCTGAGAGACGAACAGGATCTTTACAGGATCTTAGTTGCCTAGCATATCCCTCTACCAGACACAGTCACAATTAAAACTGAACGGACTGGACCGCCATTGACAACTAACCCCTCAAGGTGGCACCATTTTCATTAGTTCATGGCACATGGTGATATGTAAAGCCTTAATCAGCTAAGCGAACCGAAGCCAGATCCCCGCGTGGCTGTCTTAATACATGACGTACGGCGCTTGGAGGGCGTTGGCGTTTGCGGAGTTGAAGCGGGGGAGGTGACTTTCAAAACTATTTCGGCAGATGGAAGAATGCGGAGAGGAGGCGGCTGGGGTCGACTAGGCTGGACGTTTCTCCAGCCTCAAGGGAGTCAATAATGAACACATGGCACGTGAAGCTGTGAACTGTATCAATTGTGCAGTCGAAGTGTGGTTCGTGACACCCTCGTCTCAATCGCTAATGTTGCATATCGTATTATACCCACAAGATTAGCTTGTACCCCGTACCCCCTGACCTTTCCTTGGAGCAACTGTCTATCATGACACATGAACAAACGCCCGTTTCTTGACGGAGCGGCTTTGATCCTCTTCTTCCCAATTTTCGTCGACATAATCCTTGACGCTCTTCTCTTTGATTTGCAGTCCAACAACCTTGAGCGCTGCGATATTGTAGCCCATCTCGTCCTTTTGTCTCTTCAGCGCATTTCTTAGATTCATTCTAATACCGTCAAGCATGGCCCTCATGGTCTTGCTTGCAACAATTTGCCGGTGATGCGTTTTCAGCATGAAGAAAAGAATCCGGCAAGTCAATGGTATATTCATTGACCGTATTGCGAAGATGTTCAGGAATGTGAAAAGCATTGGGACGGTTGCAAATGGCAATACCAAGAGGGCATCATGAAGTGCTGCAGCTTTTATCCTCTGCAACACATTCATGACGTGGGTCTCGGCGCTGATGCCGCCTAAGGCCATAAATATTGGGTTTCTCTGCGGCGGTGCAATGTTTGGATTATTCGACTTCGCTTCTTCCCACTCTTTGACAACGTTCAAATCCGCCATACCGAGTTCCAGTGCCTCTGTAATTCTCTCCCCCGCCATGAGAGTTTCGACTGTCTGTTTGCTGGCGGCGGTGACCTCTCCATTCTGGTCCTCTGCATCAGGATCTTGTTCCAGAGAGGTCGTCAGCGTGCTTTCGTAGAGCTCCTCGATTTCTTTTTCGCGCTCTTCTTCGAGGAAAATCTGCTCATCTGTTTCCTCCCACACTCGAATGCTCTTGTCATGACTAGCACTGACTAGGAATGTACCACTATGGCCGACAGCGAGCGCCCAAATCTCGCCATGGTGTCCATCTATCCGCTGAATTTGCTCGAATTTGTCGGCATCCCAGTATTTGATGCTGCGATCCTTGCTACTGCTGAAGAAATGATGGCCATTACCGTCCGTGTTGTGCGGTACGAATGCGACTTGTAGAATACTGTCTTGATGAGCAAACAACGCTTTGTGACAATCCCCAAAGTCAAGCCCCCATATCCTAACGTTTTTGTCGGCAGAACTCGTGACAATGAGCTTACTATCATAAGAAATATCCATGCTGAGGACGGGAAGCTTGTGACCGTAGAGATTAAGATAGAGCTTCAGCGAGTCGGTGAAGAAGACCTTGACTGTGTTGTCAAGAAGCGCTACCGCAAGTAATCTGGCATCGGGCGAGAACCTCAAGCTTAAAATGTCGTCCGAGACCTTCAATATCCTGGCCTGAACAAGCTTCAACTTCGGGGTTGTCCTCGTTGTCCCTAAAACCGGCTCTTGTACAATCTTGAAATCCCAGAATTTGGCAGTCTTGTCCGCGCTTCCAGTAACTACTGATCGACCGTCTGGATGCACTTGAAGACTCCAAATTGCACCCTCATGCGCAGAAACACTGTCCAATAAAGCGGCACTAGCTACATCAAATAGCTCAAGCTCTCCGGTCTTGGTACCAACAACAACAACCTTATCACCGGGCAGAAACGCACAGCACAGCGCATAGCCGCATTCGAATGTCCGAATGCAAGTCTGTGTCTTGACGTTCCAGATCTTAAGACTTCCATTGGCAGCAGAAGCCAACATCTTGTCATCAGAACTTAAAGATAGCGCTCTGATATCCGCTCTATGGCCTGGCAATTCGACTGACAGTGTTCGTATATAGTCCGTTGTGTCATCCTTTTTCGTCTTTGATCCTTTGTCTTTTGTCGTGATATTATAAAACTCGAGTTGATTATTTGTAGTCCCTGCAAGTAATTGAAGGTCTTTTTGTCCGTGACTTGTGGCCCAGTCTACTGAACGAACTTTGCCTGAAGTTCTCACAATAACATGTTGAACAAACACATCCGAGATGTCAGCTTGCTCCAAGTCATCCTCATTGTCGTCGCCAGCAGCTATATCGACATCGCTCTTTGGTTTCTTTTCCGCTGTTGCCTTTTCTCGCCTCCTTCTCCTCTTCCGCGCTAGACTTTTCTTCACTTCAGCTTCTGACCGTATTCGCCATATCTCAACAGCTTTTTCGACACCATGAACGGCGAAGTAGTCCTTGCGAGGATGAAAAGCGACCTCTACAGCCCTATCTTTGCTGTGGCGATGTAAGGTTCCCCGATCTTGGAGGAAATTCGGTGCTGAAGCGAGATCAACCTGCTGTGATGCCGCAGAAAGGGATGACACGTCGAGTGACCAGACTTTTAATTCTCCATCGTTGCCGGCTGTGACACATCCACTAAAATCGGGGGATACGCCAAGTGCCCAACACTCGCCGTTCGTCTGTGCAACATGAGTTTCGACACAATGCCGCGAGGAAAGATCCCAGATCTTGATCAGAGAATCCTTCCCAGTTGTCAAGAGATACCCATCACCCAAGGTCTCTCCATCTAGTACCATTGCTTGCTCAGCCTCCTCATCTTGCGGTTGGGGCTCTAACTCGACAAAGTGAAGTCCCGTAACTTGATCCTTGTGTCCACGCAGCTTGTACTGGCCAACCTCAGCAACAAGGTCCCAGACAATAACATCTGTGTCTTTTGATCCGCTGGCAAGGCGCACTCCTGTCTTATCGAAGGCAAGTATTGTGATTGCCGACTTGTGTCCATTGAAGTTCACAATGGTGGTTGTGATCTTGCTGTCCCAAATCCGGATGCTTCCATCCTCGTACCCCACAGCGAACACATCTTTGTCGGTCTTGCTCTGCGCTATGGCTGTGACTTGTGCCCTGCAGTTCTCATCTCTCCAGCGGCTCAGGAGCTCGCCTTTCTTGATGTCCCAGCATAGTACTTCCTCATTCGCGGCGACAATGGCTCGGCCTGCACCCGTTCCCGACCGTTCTTGCGGCGCCCAGACAATGTTCGACGAGCTGGATGTTACTAGGCCGAAAGACTTCGCGTGCTCGTATTTTCTGGATCGTATGTTAGTATTTAGGGTTGCATCATGCCGCAGTAGTTCCAATAGACTTACAGGTATGACTTGACCATTTTCACACGCTCAATGCTTTTGCCAGTTCATCCAGCGCAAGTTGGGTCACTGCTCGAAAATTGGCTTCAAGTGCTGGATTCAGAGCCCAGAACTTTTTTTTGTTGCCGATAAGATAAGAATTTTGGCGGGGAATTCAATCACGCTGACATGCACGTGCTTCCACTGTTGCAATACGTAAGCGGAGGACCAGGCGCAGCATTGTCCCCAGCCCCACCATGAGGCATCACTCCTTCAAGGCACTCTCAAACAATCAGCACTTCACAGCACAGCTTTGAGAGGAACAAGCCAAAGGGTGCCACGATGCTCCTCCTGGATTATCAGAATGTTCTAATCCAGTCAGTACTGACGGAGAGGTTTTCAGGGTGAGATGCCAAACTGAACCCAATGATGGACCACCTCCCTGCTAATGAACATCCCAGCGCTCCGCCCGTGTCAATCGACCAGACTGTATCCGACTTCGACGGGGTGACCTTTCATATATCAACACCAGAAACGAAAACAAAGATTCTTGTCTCGATTCAGATCAAGTGCTATAGGGACCTTGTGAAGTATGGTGCTGAGCAGGTGCTGCGGCGCGAGTACGGTGAATATGTCGTGCCAGCCGAACCCGGTTACGACTTCTCTGTTCTAGTCGACCTAGAGAATCTGCCGGCAGATAAAGGTATAACTCTGCGTGATCCAGGTTTTTCTGTCCTCACAGTGCTAACAAGCATGCTATAGAGGCACGCGATGACCTTGTCATGAAGATCGCTCTCCTCAAGCGCAACGCTATGGCCGCACCGTTCGAGGCTGCTTACGAGGAACACTACAAGTTGAAGGAGGCTGCGTCAAAGTATACATCCGAAGAGGCACCACAAGGCGTTCGGGAAGGCGGAGAGGTCATGGCGATTCATTACCGAGAGGAGGAAGCTATATACGTGAAAGCGAGCCACGACCGTGTGACAGTCATCTTCAGCACCATCTTCAGGGAAGAAACGGATCGCGTGTTCGGCAAGGTGTTCATCCAAGAATTTGTTGATGCTCGAAGACGGGCAATTCAGAATGCACCTCAAGTTCTTTTCCGAAATGACCCGCCGTTGGAACTTCAGGGTGTCCCCGGAGTTCAAAATACAGGCACTGGAGAGATCGGTTATATCACCTTTGGTGTGTTTCTCAAGCCAATAGCGTTCTCGAATAAAGCTAACGGGACCAGTTCTATTTCCTCGACACCTCACCCCTCAGCGGATGCCAGACGTCATCTCGCACATTCAGACTTTCCGCGACTACTTCCAATATCACATCAAAGCATCTAAGGTAAGTCTAGGAGCAATTGAGCACAACATTTGTCTAACGATGGCCAGGCCTACATCCACACAAGGATGAGACGGCGCACGGCGGACTTCCTGCAAGGTGAGATATCTGTTCTTTGAGGATGTGTCGACAAGCGCGCTAACAAGCTATTAGTCCTCCGAAGAGCGAGGCCTGACAACGAAGAGAAGGAGCGTAAGACGGCGAGTGGAAGGACGTTTAAGCAGGGGAGTTAATGGTCCTTCTATATCTGGTTTGGGCTCAATCAGCAGTCGATACATCTAAGGCAGGCCGGGCAGTATTATGGGGCGTAGGTCGTTGACGACAGGCAGCTCTGGGAATGGCACTATTAAAAAAAGCCGTAGACGCCGAACTACGGCAGAATAAAGTCATAAATCCAGAAACAAATGGCACTATTGCGCATTAGTGAGGTGAATTATGCTGGGTGGCCAACGGTTGGGCTAAGGAGTATCTTGCGGCTAGAGGTAGGTAGCTAAGCTAAGCTCCTTAAACCATGCCGATTGGCGAGCTCCCACCGTACATCCCACCTGGGCAACCTCAAGCTTCAACACCATCCAACGTCGACGCACCAGCGCCGCAGTGACTTCGTGTTGTGACCCTCCTGCAGCAGCACAATGCGATGGCCGTGGCAGAGCAGGTCGTCGGACTCCCCCGTCTCGGGGAAGGATAGCGAATCCTCAGCGTTCCCACTGCCGGTGCCGACATCTTCGGACCCATGCAAGCAGAAGTCGGTCAGCTGGAACAACACGCTCAACGCAACAGATTGGGAGCACTTCAAGGAGCCGCGCAATTGGATTCCCACGTTACTCGTGACAGCAACGGCGCTTGCATCACTGCATGTTTACCGGTCGTACTTGCGCCGCATCCCGGGTGTGGACCACATACAGCCGAGCTTCTTCAGAAAGAGGAGCTTGTTCGGACGGGTCACGAGTGTCGGCGATGGAGACAACTTTCACCTATTCCATACCCCTGGTGGAAGACTTGCAGGCTGGGGATGGTTAAGAGCCATACCCAAGGAGCGAAAAGAACTCAAGGGCCGGACTGTACGTCATCCTCACCAAGCTACCTACAAGGCATATTATACTAACTTAGACTCTAGATTTCAGTTCGTATAGCCGGAATTGATGCACCGGAAGGAGCACACTTTGGGCGTCCAGCACAGCCTTACGCCGCCGAGGCTCTCTCGTGGTTATCCGGAAGCATCCTACATCGACCCATCAGGGCCTACATCTACAGACGCGACCAGTATGAACGCGTTGTCGCCACCGTCTATATCCGCCGCTTCCTCTTTTTCCGGAAAGACATTGGCCTAGAGATGCTGCGTCGGGGTCTGGCTACTACATATGAGGCAAAAACTGGCGCGGAGTTTGGTGGAGCCAAGATGGAGAAGAAATATAAAGCCGCAGAGGCAGAGGCTAAGAGCAAGGGAAAGGGTCTTTGGAGCGCTCTAGGAGGGAAATCAAAGGGGTGGTTTGGACTAGGAAAGGGACCAGATGAGCCCTTCGAGACACCCCGCGAGTACAAGTCAAGAATGAATTCTCAGCCGAAACCCGAGAAAGGAGATCAAAATAGGACATAAAACATCCAATCGAATAGGATGAATGAAGGCACAGTGTTCTTGCACATCGAGCTAAAGATACCTTGTGAGGGTGATACAATTGTGAAGCTTAACGAGCAGATTTTACTGAAGTGCTGTTTGTGAATAGGTGTTTCTTGACATATTATAACAGAGTGCTCCAAGTGAGTATGAGCTGAGGAGGCCATCATCTTGAAGGCGATACTCGCAGACTCACTTGATCGCAATGAAGGCTATCTCTTACCTGTCTGATCTCCCCATGATACTGATTGGAGATGGAAATCCATATATACAATGGCCAGGCAAGATCCCTTCAAGCGAAGAGCCCGGTTGGTGGCCTAATAGCAGAAGTCAGGAGCTATAACCCAAGTTATCTACCTTCCCTGAAAACGATGGTCCGATTCTCAATCTAGGCGCCTCCTGGACCTGAATTTTTTGCCTGTTTGAGCCCCTTTGCGACCAGTCCTTTTTTCTCATTGTGTTCCTCCTCGCTTTGAAGCTATTCATTCTGATCAAATCCGAGGCCTCGTCATCAGGCTGGATATGATCAACATACTACGCGCACTGCCTTACGGTAATAGCGGTCCGCTAGAGCTCATGGAAGCGTGGTTGTAGTGAATATGTCTCGTCGAAAGTGTCCAACGAGCTACTTGGACGACCATACTCGACAGCTTTCAACTTTTCCAGCTACCGCATTGCCAGGACTTGCTATAGGTAATCTCCTGTGATATAGCGATCAGTAGGATTCACATCACTTTGGCTGCTATTTATATCTTCGTCGTGTAGACTATTCAGTTAGGAAAGCTTCTCCACAACCTCATAGCAGGTATATTCGCTCAGTTTCGTCAACTTCCCTGGTATAGTAGACAATACCTCGTTTCGCGGGTCCAAGCATTTACCATCAATGCCTTGCAACTGCTACCGTCGAATCACTCAACAGATATTCAGTGTTGATGGCAAGAAAACACATCTTACTTATGCAGCATGTGACACGAAGGAGGCTTACACTGCTTTTACTCGTTACTTAAGGAGCGTTTTCATGGAGAGAACAACTATGGTTCAGATGTTTCATGCCCACGAGCCATGGGATCCACTTCCGCGGTTCAACATACTAGACTACCTGATGTATGAATTATTTGGAAATCTCTGGCATGAACTGTTTTGATTGTTAACTTCGGCACCAGGCTCCGAAAGGCGGCTCCGGCGAATCTCGATCCAGATAATAGGGCTCACCGGATCCAGCTCAAATGGAAACAAACATTCAAGTACGGCATTGCAGAGCGCCGAAACAGAACCATTGCAGTGCGGCCCTCACGAGAGGCCTAGACAGTGTAAGGAAAAGCAACCTTGGTTCTACGGATCATAAGACACGAATGCCAGGCCATAGAAACGGTGACGTCGCGATAGCAGGAGGCGTTCCAGGTAACCGGATGGCTCCTATCATGGCATGATGACGACCCGAGATGTGTGCTTCAAGGACTGCCAGATCGACGCAGCGAGTCTCACTCGTCAATACCTGCGATTACCGGTACCTGGATACCAGTTGCATGACAAACAGCAACCCCGTTTCTTGGACACGCAATACGAGTCACAGAGAGTGCACCTATAGATTATGTCGATTCGGTAGCAATCTCGACAGAGGTTGAGATCGTATCTAAAGAAGAGACAAACGTCTAGCACTGCCCAGGTCTTTAGGAGAAGTCTAATTCATCCCAAGTTTCAGTCCGACGACATGCAAGGGCGTTGTGTACAGGTGATTGCTCGCCTTACGAGCCCCGCCTCAGGGCCGACAACAGCCGGGTCATCAGAGCTCTATAAGGAGATGGACATATGTTTCTTATGGCCTGAATTATAAACATTTGAGCAGGGCGAATGGCATGGGAGCAAGACGATGTCCCGATGCCGTTGGACAGGCGTTCGGATTGGCCACGTTGAGGTCCTGGCCAGTGAGGACGCGTCTCTGGCATCTAGTACATGTGTGAAGAGAGATCTGGCCCGATAGATCAGGTGCATGCGTAGCGGGAACTGGTGTCAGATACATGGAGGTATTATTTGGGTGTGTGGCTGGGTCTCTAGGGGCGACCCCTGACCCTGCTGCGACATTGCTTCGGTTACAGAGACAGCCCCCGTTCGGCCCCTGACTCTCGCATTTTGGCGACTGGCACCGACCACACGGTGCACTGCGCTACGCTACACTGCATGCTCACCGCAAAATCTCGTCTGCACGTCTGGAGCTGCTATTCGTAGAGATTTTGAAATGTTCTGATTCTTTTCCCCTTTTCGTCGATTACCATCGAAGAAAGGTCCGGCGCCTTTTTTTCCTTTCTTTTAAGCATCTCGAAGGGTGACGTAGGGAGCCCAGGAAAGAACAGGAGCTGGAGCCCTCTTCTCCAAGACATAGTCACTCTTTTCTTGCAACATCACAATCCCGGATTCAGTTTGGGATTTGTCCAGGCCGGTCGATCGTGCTACCGCCCGCCCGCTTCAACCTGGCTCACTCGTTCGTTTAATATCTCCCTCGTGAGGGCGGTTGCGTCTATCTGTCCTTCGTTTTTGCACGCCTCCAGTTCGTGGCCTAGTAGGGATCCGAACCCCTGATCTGAGCCTCTCCCAGGTCACACTGTTTCGATCAAGAGAATCTCTGACAGTGCGTCACGGAATCCAGGGATTTCAACTGACGGACTGAGTAACTCTTGGAGATCTGTACAAGCAGAGAGCAACCCTTGGCATCTATCGATCCATCCATTCATTCGTTTTCTGGTTTGCTCGTATCATACCATACCGGACATCACCACGACTTGCGGCACCTCGCATAGCATAACGGAGCAACACAACCAGGACGGCGACGGCGGCGGCGACGACGACGACGACGACCAGCTCCGCCAGTACCATTGGCAAGCAACACATTCATTCGGCATTGAGTACCAAGCATCATCACGCTCATTCACACAGCAAGTTCGATCTCCGGAAGGAAACACGCAACGTAGACAACTGTACAGTCCAGCCAGTCATTCACTACCATCTATCCAATCTTTCTTTTATTTTTGCATATCAATCATTCTGTCGGACTCATCGCCCCATCAACTCATATCAATCAATCTAAGGTCAGCAGCATCAGACGCTCCGAAACGGCCATTCATTCATCTGCGACAACGCCGTCTGCACAGGATTAAGTGTTAGTGCACCACCACCACTACCACCACAAGCAGCCGTGGCTTGGACCTCCCCCAGATCACCGCCCGAACCGGAGCATCAGTGATCCATCCTGCTGAGGCCCACGGAACGTCAGAAACACGGCATTTCAAGACCAGCCAGCATCCCTGATTACCTGTACATACTGCAAAGTACAGGTGCGTTGTGTCGTGTGCCAAAGTGGAAGCAAGGCGGTTAGGTACAGACAGACGGACCGCGAGCAAGCAAGGCGTATTGCAATAGCCGTTTCCCGGGAAGCGAGATATTGCGGCACGTCACCCTATCCGACACGTGCAATCTCAAGCCGCTCAAGCAAGCCCCGTCGCCAGAAAGATTTGGGCAGCGGGAAACAGGGGAATATCGAGAGACTACTCTAAAGCAGAAGGGGGGATATATTGGGAAGGAAGAGGCTCTTATCACGAGGAGTGTAATCCTCCTCAGGGTCCCCCACCAAGTGACGACAACACTCTTTTCTCACCTGCCTGACATTGGAGGTCTGCACAGCAGTGGCCCGGTCTGGTCTGGAGGTAGCTGACCAGACTCGCGACCGTCCTGGTTCATCTCCGTCATCTTGGGGGCAGTTTGAGGGTTTTGAGGGGTGGAAGAGGGTGTCGAAGCTGCAGGTCCGCCCAGTCAGAGCTCGCGTTGGCAGCCCTGAGGTGTCCAGGACTCCAGGACCGTACAGGGTCTAGCCCCACAAGCCACCCAATCCAAGACAAGGCGACCAGCAACCCCCCGGCACGGACCACTCCTAGCTTCGTCACAACGCCAATTGGCCAGACAGACTAAGTCTACTGCAGTCTAGTCTCATTACGACGGACGGGAAGACTCTGGGAGAGGGGAATCGGGCTGCACCGCTGTAATCTCTCATACCGGACCAGCACTGCTTTGCTGGCTGGCTGGCTGGCTGTGTCTACACCATTAGCGGCAGCTCTAGCCACGTCCCAGCGTGCCCCAGCTCTGCCCAGCTCTGCCTGGTGTCCCCTGGTGTCCCCTGGTGTCCCCGCTAACCACATTCTTTCCGAGTAATCATCAAAGCTTGGAACAGAGTGGGAAAACAAACCCACCCACTCTCACTCTTGCTTGCTGAGGTAGGTGCGCTCTGCTTGCTTGGGAGTCGTACCTTCCCACCTTACCTCACCTCACCTCACCACTCACACTCACTGCACAGCAACAAACAATTTCCATTCCTTCCCTCATTTCCTCCATTTCCGCCACAAAGAACCACAACCACCAACACTACAAATCTCTCCCAGCGATGATGACTCCCGGTCTCTAATTAATTACAGTCGAATATACGATATCGACTCTCTCGCTCGACTTCAATCTTCCCATAGAAAGGGTCCCATCACCTCTCTTTTTCTTTGTGTGCATCTAATACCCGCCAGTCGTCGCGCGCGTTCATTTCACGACCAACCAGCAAATTTCCTCGATCGCGATCAGCACTTGTACCTTGTGCGACATCCTCCACCACCCAACACGAGCCGACGATCCCTCTGCCGACATTACATCACCTGCCACAACATTCACTCTAATCTTTGTTGTGTTGTGCAATCCATTCAGTCTATTGCTATTGTTATGGCCCAAGCATAGCTTCTTGGATTCTTCTTCTCCCCTCCATGACCGGTGATACCTGGGCAGGTAAAGCGTCAACACCAACTTGGACCCCGACCTCGACCTCGACCTCGACTCGGGCGACCACAACCACCAAGTATTGGTCACCGTAGGCACAACCGGCGTATCTCGACGCCATGCGGTTACCATCCCGCAGGCGCCGCTCGGCGCCTCGATGGTCTCGCTCTTCTTCATCACAATCTCTTCTCAGCTCTCTCCTCACATTTTCTTCACTCGCATCCTTACCAATATCACAAGCGATCACATTCACCCCCGCCCCGGCAGCGAATCTCGACCTCTCCCAATTAGGACGCATTGGTGTAGCCGGCGACTTCTCCGGTTTGTCGATGTTTCAATTCGAGGAGCAAAATGAGAACACATTCAGTACTAATGGCAGCGAGGCGCTTTTGGCACGCATGCCCAACGGCGCTTTCGCATCCGTTGTCAAAACAGATGCCACGATCCAGGCTATGTGCACCTTCATGAATAAGGGGACGATGGCAGGAGTGGTAATAGGCGGTAATTTCACAAGTTTAGGTGGCATGGAATCAACAGCAGTGGCGTTGTTCAACCCGAATACCTCGCAGATCACACCCCTCGCTGGACTCTCAGGCCAGGTCAACGCCTTGTTCTGCGACAACGACAACAACACGGTGTACGTTGGCGGAAACTTCAAGGGAGCGGAATCCACGAACGCCATCGCCTGGGTCGGCACCCAAGGCTGGACAAACCTGCCGTTTGCTGGCTTCAATGGACCCGTCACATCCATCACCAAGGCCTCGAATGGCCACATAATATTTGGCGGCAGCTTCACAGGGTTGGGTAATGCAAGCGCGCCGAGTCGGCCTGATGAGCAGATCATCAATCTGTCGTCTGCCACGATCACCTCGGGCTCCTCAACTACCCAGTCAGGTTTCAGCGACCCGAAGAACATCATCTGCAAGACTAGCGGCGCCGATGGACAGGGCAACACTTGGCTCCTCCAGGACAACGCCGCCGGCTTCTGGCAAGCGAAGATGGAATTTGGATATCAGCCTACCAAGCTTCGCATCTACAACACACATCAAGATGGCCGTGGGACAAAGACTTGGCGATACACCGCCTTTCCCATAAACGGCATCATGAACTTCACATATATCGATCCGTCAACAGGGCAAAATCACTCGTGCACGAGCGAATGCCCTCTAAGCGATGATACCAGCGTCGAGTTTCAGGACTTCCATTTCGTCAATGTGATTGGGATGAATGGGTTTCGAATTGATATTTCTGATTGGTACGGCAGTGGCGGTGGTCTGAATGGTATCGAATTGTTTGAAGATGACATCTTTGCCTATGCAATCAACGATTTCAATGAGCCGACTTGCGCCAGTCTCGAGGCACCCTCAAACGCGACTCGCACAGGCCCGTGGACTGTATCGCCTTCGCATTCAAGCATGTCCCAATACTTGACCGCTCAACTTGAGGGTACAATTGACGAATCATCAGCTTCGGTTGTATTCACGCCTGATATCAGGGAGTCTGGCAACTATTCCGTCAACTTGTACACTCCCGGATGTCTCCAGGATGGCACGTGTGATACACGTGGACAGGTTGATGTCACTGGCATCATGTCAACCACGGACACCAACCCACTAAACACCTCTCTCTATCAGACTAACAACTTTGACAAGTATGATCAGATCTACTTTGGCTATATCGAAGCTAGCTCAAGCTCTTTCAAGCCGACCATCACCATGACCCCCAAGAGTGGCCAGTCGATCACCAACATGACATTTGTCGCCCAACGTGTCGGTTTTACGCTGCTCAACACAACCGGCGGTCTCAATGGCTTGTTCGAGTACGACCCGAGTAGCTCTGTCGTCAACACCACGGATTTCCAAACCTCGACTTTCGACAAGTTGGGCATGGGCTTTTCCGCAGGGTCGGCTGTCAAGGCCCTCGCAACCTCGGGCGACGTGACATATATTGGAGGAAACTTCACATCCACCAAGGCAAAAAATATTGTGTCTGTCAATGCTCAGGATGCCTCAGTGCAGACTCTTGACGGTGGTCTGAATGGGCAGGTCTTGTCGATGTACCTCAATGGGTCGAGCCTCTACGTGGGCGGCACGTTTGACAATACCCTGGACAACGGCGCTACTGGACTCAATAACTTCGCTCTCTTTGATACATCCAAAAGCTCCTGGACTGCCCTTGGTGCTGGCGTGGACGGTCTTGTGCGATCCGTCGTTCCACTAACCATGAACGTCTCAAGCGCAGAGCCCGAGCTTGTTATCAGCGTCTCCGGCGACTTCTCGCGATTGCTCGCATTCAGCAATAACCAAGATGTAGCAGCTGATGGGTTTGGTGTCTGGGTGCCCTCTCAGAATAATTGGCTACGAAATTTGGACCTTCCAGTTGAGTCAATTGATGGTATCCTGTCAAGTGCGATCCTCGATATCACAGGCGGCGCGCTATATGCAGGTTCTCTATCGTCATCATCCTTGAGCGCCAACGGCGCTGCTACCATGACGGACAGTTTTGGCAGACTCCCAGTCAATATCCAGTCTCAGACTGCCGAGTCCAGCACAGGCGTTACCAAGAGGGACACCACAAGTGAAAGTTCCGTATCAGGCATTGTTACAGGAGCATTCTACAATGAAGGCGGTCGAAATGTCACTATTCTTGCAGGTCATTTTTCTGCAACCGCCACCAATGGCTCTACCATACATAACCTCCTCTTTCTGAACGGCTCAAACAGCGACAATGTTTCCGGTCTTGGCTCGGAGATCTCAGAGAGCTCAAACTTCGTTGCTCTGGCTGTCCAAGGAGATAATCTCTTCGCTGGTGGCAATGTGACCGGCACTGTCAAGGGCGGAAAGGTCAGCGGGCTCATTTCATTCAACCTCCTTGCAAACGCCTACAATACCCAACCGCCAGCCTTGTCTGGTGGCAACAGCACTGTCAGCTCCATTCAGGTCCGACCAAATACCGGCGATGTTTACGTTGGTGGATCCTTCACATCGGCTGGATCGCTTGGCTGCCCAGGTGTTTGCTTCTTCAGCACCACCGCAGGCCAATGGAATCGTCCCGGCCTTGACCTTGCCGGTACAGTCAACGCTCTAATGTGGTCATCGGAATCAACACTAGTGGCCGGAGGCAACTTGACCGTCAGCCAGTCCAACGTCTCTTATCTCGCTTCGTACGATGCTAAGAAGCAAACCTGGACGAGCTTCTCGGGTGCCGAGCAGCTACCAGGTCCTGTCGATGTCCTCACTGCTGCATCTTCCAACGGAAAGGAGGTGTGGGTGGCAGGCACTGTCAACTCCAATGGCTCGGTGTACTTAATGAAATACGATGGATCCAACTGGAACACGGCGGGCGCGACACTCGACCCTGGTACGGAGGTCCTAGGCCTGCAAATGTTTTCTCTTACGTCGAAGCACGACTCCACCCCAATCGTGGACTCGGACCAGGTCCTGATGTTGACCGGTCGTATCATGATTCCAGGCTTCGGCAGTGCCAGCGCCGCCATGTTCAATGGTACCACCTTCCTCCCATATGCGCTAACCACCAACACGGGCAACACCGGAGGCACCATTTCAAGATTCTTCACGGAGAAGTCAAACTTCTTCTCAAGTAAAGGTATGTTACAAACGCATGTCTATTGTGTCATGGGAAACGTTGGTTCTAATTCGGCTTCTCAGGTGGCCATCTTTCACTTGCAGCAGTTGTGCTCATCGGTCTGGGCATATCGCTAGGCCTGATGTTACTGATTGTCGTCCTTGGCCTGCTATTAGACCGACTTCGGAAGAAGCGTGAAGGTTATGTTCCTGCTCCAACTTCGATGTATGACCGGGGCAGCGGCATCCAGAGGATACCGCCCCACGAGCTGCTCGAATCGCTAGGGAGAGGGAGGCCTGGTGCACCACACGTTTGAGCAAGTGGAGAGATGATACCCAAAGCAAAACAATCGAAAGAAAGCGAGCATACCCGGCGTTACGATGCTTGAAGGATTGATCTGTGATTTCAGCAGGTTTGGCGTTCTGGATAAACATCTAAAATGGTCTCTTGAGAGGAGTTTCCATCCTTTTGCTTGTCAAGAGGTAGAAGACAGACGTGTGGGCTACTTCTGGTGCCACCGAGGCATACACGGCGATGTTGAGCAAGTTGAGCTATGAACATCAAGCTCATCTTGCGGCTACGGGACGGGAATATCCAAGAGACCCGAGACTCCTCCGAAGGCGAGATCCCGGAGATGAACGCCACAAGGCGTTGTACTATGATGTTTTCTCATATTTTTTTTCACTTCGTTTTGACGACTTTACGACAACAACTTCGTTAATGTTTACCTGTCTATTATACCATTCATGGTTCATACCCACCCGGTCAGCCCCGTTAGAGAGCTCTCTACGGTGGCACTTGTACATTATATAATCTTGTAGGGCATTGACCCGTCGTGGTCGGCCTGGGGCTCGAACAAGACGAGCCAAGAGAGAACCAGTGGTTGAGAGATTTGTTGGAACTGTTTGGACGATCATTGCGATTCATACAGCAGGCATTTGCGTAATTAGTTGCATGAGACATAGCCAGTGTTTACGCGACTAGATAGAGAAAGTTAATGGAACGGATCTAGTCAGTCATGTTGCTGTTTCTTTCAATCGTTGTGACAATTTGATCAGGACCCTTGCTCGATATGTTCTCCTAACGGCACTGTCAGGTGCATAGCAGCCGCAAGTAATTAAACAAAGCACTAAAGTGAACTTTTCATGGACGTTACGGCCAGAATTGCTCCAGCAGTAATACTCCCTGCTTCAAAATCATACAACCAAAAAAATTTAAGACACATGTCAAATTGTCTCCTTCCGACCCAAGACTACTCCAGACACCGTGCCAGTTAAACCATGGACAATGGCATTGCCCGCCTTATCAATAACGGACAACTTCATGAACGAAGATCACGACGGCGGCGGCGCATGATCACGAAGTCACGACCACCAGCGATACTGATGACCATATGCAAGAGCCTAGGGATGGCACAAGCTGATTAGTCTTGCAGGGTAGGAATAGGATGAGCAGTTGATATCAAAGGGGTTACTCACATCTCACTGAACATGCAGAACAAGATGAGCACCGCAACAGCCGCCGTCGCGGCGCTCGATCCGGCGCGCGTCCGCTGCATGTCGCCCAGCGTGAACGACACGAGAAAGCCCCCCGCGATGGCGAACCCAATGCCAATGGCGCCATCGTACAGCAGCCGCTGCAGGGCCGGCGAGCGCCTGTTGCGGCGCAGGATGAAGTAGACGTCGATGCCGCTGGTGCAGCACGACTGGATGGCCGGGCTGAGTATCGGTGCCATCCATTTGTCACGGCCGATGCCGCGCTGGGCGATGATAGAGAGTGCGATGAGCACGATGCCGAGGCAGATGCAGAGGGTGCGCGCCGCGAGGAAGAGGGGCCGGTGAGGCGAGCTGGCGCCGTAGATGTCGCGCTGTTGAGAGGGTCGTGGGGGCAGCGGCGTGCGGTCGTAGCTGTTGCCCTCGCCGGTTTCGAGAGTCGAGTGGTTCGTTGTCCACGAGGCGAGGCTGTCCTTGCGGGTGGAAGACATGTTGATCGAGTAGTCAGCCCTCGGCTTATAAGACGTCTGATAGATCTGAAATTCTCAAGGATGAAGGCAAGCCCGGTTTGCGTAAGTCAAACTTGCTTGCTGCGTTCAATGCAGTGTTTCTCGTTCGGTTCGAAAAGTTCGATCCAACATTATATAGACCTAGGTTCAGCAACGATGAGGCTATACACATGCCCCGCCTCTGTCTCCGTCGTATCTCGTTTTCGATCGCGAGACGGGCGTCAGCCACAAAGCGCGTTACAACGAATGAGCAGCGCTCGCAGCACCAGGGCTCGGAAACTGCCGTATGGCACATAAGCAGCCTAGAAATTGCCCGATCTGCCTTCCAGAGAGCCTGCATTGCTCTGATATGCAAAGGTTCATTCAACCAGGGATATTATTGGTGATACTGAATCGTCCTACTTGGTCCTATTTGAGACTTTGTATGGTGTGAGCATGTATGCGCGCCCATAAGTTGGCAGTGACGGGACTACACACATGAACTGACGCCGTACTCAATATCACAATCTACATGTTGTGAATTGTGAAGAATATTTGAAGGTAATCTTTCAAGAGTCTAACTCCATATATCTAAGATATCGCTTGCGTCGAGGTATTGCGTTATGATAATGAGCACCGTGACATCAAATCCAGTTACCACGCTGGTCCGGAGGATTTCATCGATTTAAACTCTTCCATACGTACAGTTGACCATATCTCAACACACGAGCAATGCCAATTATGATCCTGTTTGACTGTTTTACCAAGCAGGCTTGTTGGTCAAGGTCCGATTTCTTGAGAGATACTCCTTGGCAAGCCCAAGAAAGTAGAGTTGGATGAATCAATACGCAAAGACGAGGCAAGAGATCTCACCGTCGTGGTTTATTAATGCCATCAATCGACACATTTCAATAGAAAATTGTGTCGTTGCCCCAGGAGTCTACATTGGATGGGAACTTTAATAAGGCTACGCATAATGAATAGGCAATGGCTCATAACGAAGACTCTCATCATGAAGCCACGTTTGACCGGATATCGACTAGATGTAGAGATGAAAACTGGAAGCCTAGAAATAGTTGTTATCACAACAGACCATACCGCTAGCAGACATCTAAACATAAGATGTATGATATGAGCACCCTCTCCATCCCGAACCACTGACGAAGGGTTGCTCTCGTGTCTGGTTTCATGCAAGACACTTTCAAAAGCACACAAGCGTGATAGTCTTCAGAGACTCGGATCTTGTACGCAAAGCCTCGTACATTGCCGGGGTACTCACTCTTAGCAAAACCAACAATACGAATGGCTGTGAAGTAACATGCCGTGCTTGGAGGTTAAAAAAGGTTGAGAACGATGTAGTCAGTTGAGAAATGGCTACTTCCTTGCATATGATGCCGAAGCGTGATGATGTTTCCGCTTATGAACTGAACATTTGCCCTCAATTATTGTTGACGAACTCGTTGTGATGAGGTGCGCGCTTGTTTTACTCGTGGTGATGTCCTTGGCTGGAGAAATATGACGTCTGGCTTTATTTTATAAGTCTTTCTTTCTAGCCTTTCTACAAGAATCATCTGACCCTACAGACATTCGAGCAAAGAAAAGGTGATAGTCATTAAGTTTGCGACGAATGTCGTTGAGCCCAGCAGGTTCGACATACAGTTACATGGTTGCTTGAGAGTCGGGCTTCTCAACAGTTTCATGAAGTATACACAACTCTAATCTCAAATATCTACCATTATGCGGAGTCCGTCGGGGGCCTCGATCAATTGACTGGGAAAGAGTCTTATAATCTAGGTCACTCGAGCTGTGAGGCCATGATCAGTGGACTAGGACTCGAGATGACAATGATGGGTGGAAGCTATCCAGAAAAGGTGTGTTAGGCTATCGGTTGTTTGCTAGATATCAACAGTCCATTTGGAGTACGATAGCGTGAAGGAGAGGTAGTCTGTAGAGCGAAAGTAATCATTCTGTACGCATTATCACGAATATATATTTCACATTATTGAATTATCTAAAAAATGACATTGCGTTAGCGATCACATACGGGAAAGGACAGGTGGCTCCCTCGGAAAATGAGATGGAATGGAAATCCGGCTGCAATTATGGACGTCTTGGATCGATAGCATCGTACCATTACATGAGCTCTGTTTCAATATACAAGGTCGCCTCTTCTTTAACAGGACTTAATTACGCCCGAGCACTTCAATCCAATTCGATATAGCAGGACCGGTGAAATGACAACTCTGATTCACGAAGTGTAGAATGGGAGTATGGACTATTTTGAGGAACTGAACTGCATTGTACACAGCCGCTGTCACTGCCTTGCTGGCTTGAATGGATCATATAGTTGATGAAATGACCAAACGAACAAGTGTGCCGTCTACGATGTTCAACCCGAATTACACGCCACTCGTAACGAAGAAATGTCGCTTTCAAAAAACATGTTCTTTCAGCAAAACTTTGGAATGAAAGGGGACAAAGATTCAGGGCCGTTCACCAGAGCTAACATTTTATTTTCAATGAGAGCCTCACCACCCTGCGATGTTGTATAGCAACATGTTCCAATATGGTAAGAAGAAGTGAATATTGTACCGAACTACAAATAAACATGATACTAAAGCATGAGTGGTAACTGAGCATGAGAGCTACCACCAAAAAGAGCACTTTGTCGTCTGAAATTGGCAGAAGCTGTTGACTAGACTGTGTGCACATGGAACCAAATCATGAACTGATGCATGAGGCTACTCTGTTTCTCAACCCAGACTTTCAACACTATAATCTATTGTATGGAACTCGACATACTACGTTACACTGTCACCGAGACTTATCAAAGAAACTACCGACCAAACTATGTTATGTTGTTATACTTTATCGTGGGCCGTAAGGTTCTACGCCGGCCAACTCGAACATATTCACATCGCGATCGCGGGCTGCTAGCACGCCGCTCCTCACTCCTTAGTCCTGACCGGACCGGGCATGTGTTTACGGTGACAAGACGCTCGACCTTCACAAACGCCCCGAGTGAACGGTCGGCCCGGGTATCCAATTCCCTGATTTACAAAAAGCCGCAAGCTAGCGCAGCATTTCTCTTTGGCATTGCTAGGCTGGAACGTGATGATGTCATGGGAGGACGCTTTGGGAGTGTCGTAGGAGGCTGATAGTCTGTTTTGTTTGTACTGTTGTGTACTCTAAGTTGTCCATCCTCCCTTAGCTGCCCGTTGAGATGTTTCACACGCCCCCCTGAATCCGGCTTGCGGCACTGAGATCAGAGTGAACACATCTCGGCCTTGGCTCGGCGCCTTCCTTAGCGATGTCATTCCAGGCCTTTGTTTGACAGCCGACGGTCTCACCAGCTGCCATAAGGCGCGGATAACGGCTGCTCTGCGCCGGCGTGTTGAAGCGTGAACATCGCCATATATTTTGCAATCCCAGCTAGCAAAAGAAGTTGAAGATGGGCTGATCAGATATGATCATGGCATGGCCTGGTTCTTTGGGGTGTCATATAGTGAAAATTAGTTCTAGATGTTTCTTGCTGTTCTCAGTGTTATGGACTAGCTGGGTGGGATGTTAGAGGGAAAGTCTTGAGCAAGGATTTTTGGATGGTTCTTGAGGCTAACTCGTGTCACAAAACTCGCCGAAAGCAGACTTCCTTATTGTTTGTGCCATCGACGATGAGTTGCGACTCATCGGCGACCGTGCCTTGACTACACTGAGCAGGACGGATCGGGCGCAGGTACGCGACCCAGACTGGCGGGTTCCAAGTCTCTGCGACATCGTGAGAGGAGCGACAGAGGCGCATTCAAGGGCTTAGGTAAATTCACCATCAGCAAAAACACTACTGTTCCAGGACCATGGATCTCATAACCTCAATATTGCACCGTGACTAGAAGACCAGGAACTCAATTGGCAATAGTCGAATGTTATCTCTTCACTTCTGATAGGTAATTGACCTCGAGTATCGAAAGCCGCAAGGCCCCAAATTCAACGCCGCCCCACCACCAACACCGGGCGGTAGCTCAACCTTGAGATACCTGCACGCTGTCTCTCAGCTTTGGCGTCGCGGCAGCCTGCAGTGATCGACCTGCGGGTGCTACAACCCAAGGCGGCAGGAAAGCGGGACTACTACCTCATTCACGATGGCCTGAAAATGATGCAGACTGACAGCCAGATCAGATGTGGCGGCAGGATGGCTGTCCCCCACCGCGCCGTTCTCCTACCACATATGCACGATAAGGTACTGTACTGTGCAAGCGCAGGTTGCTGTGCAAAGTGTCGGTTTCGTCACCTGAATTGTCTGTACGGGATCGTTACTATTATCTTCGAAGAGGTGGCCGACGCGTCAATGCCCATAGTCCTATGAATCTGGTGATCCGGCTCGCCTAAAGGAATATATGAGATCCGGGACCAGACAAAGAAACATTATCCTCTCAGTTTGCCTGTCTATAAGTCTCATGCAGAATGAAAGAAGCAATTCATCCTCCGAAGGACCGGAGGTTGGTGTCAGCCACCCGATCGCTCGTCCAGTGAATCCCGACAACTATGGACTATCTTGACAAGGAGGCTGCAAGAAAACAAGGCACAAAAAGGATCTTGCGTTTTGGCTGCATCTTGTTGACGCGGAGGCCGTGCTAGTCAACCTCAACATCTGAGAAGTAGGATGTGTTACAGCACCTTAGCTCTCCACGCCATGTAAACAATAGAATGGAGATCATGCTTGCATGCTTCCTCGTCGCGCGTAGCGAGCAAGCGGCGACGCGTGGATTGACCATTTCTGCGCCAAGCTGTCACTGCCAGCAATAGACGGCCACGAAGTCATTGTACGTCCAAAAAGGGCGATTTGACGTCATTTCTGGCCGTCTTATTGGCTTAGGCTGTGTTATATTGGCTGGCGAAGGGCCGAATTCGATTTGGCTTGCACGATTGCCCTCGAATCTTAGGCGTCGCAAAAACTAAGCCTTGGAGCACGGGCTCTTGCGCGAAGAGGGAGGGGTAGGGTGCAGCTC